GGGTTTTATGACTAGAATACACTTTACAGCAGTGCCAAATACAAATCACGATGGTGTTGTACTTGAGTGCTTTTCAAAAATTTGGGAGAATATCAAAAAGGAAATTGACGTTTCCTGCGTGGATGCGAATCAAAGGTCTAAAAGGCAAATAGTAGGCGGTGAGACGGAGCAAAATCCCAACGATTTAGTGTACATGCAAAAGGCACAAGAATCTTTGAAGAAGTATCTTTTTGAGACTGGAAACCAGCAACCACTTTTTGTAGTCCGAATAAACAAAGTAACTACTCAAGTAGTCTCGGGCATCATGACTAGAATAAGCTTTATAGCAGCACTAACTACAAATTCAAATGATCATGTATATGAGTGCTTTTCGAAAATTTGGGAGCAGCCCTGGCTTAACAAAACCGAAATTGATGTTTCCTGTCTGGATACGAATCAAAGGTCTAAAAGGGATATAATAGCAGGCGGTGAGACGAAGCAAAATCCCAACGATCCACTGTACATTCACCTGGCAAAGGAATCCTTGCAGAAGTATCTTGCAGAGACCGGAAACTCTCAGTCGTACTCAGTTAACCGAATACAAGAGGTAACCACTCAAGTAGTTGCGGGTTTTATGACTAGAATACACTTTACAGCAGTACCAAATGCAAATTATGATGGTGTGGTACTTGAGTGCTTTTCAAAAATCTTGGAGCTCAACATAAAGGAAATTGATGTTTCCTGCGTGGATGCGAATCAAATGCCTAAAAGGCAAATGTTCGGATGCTAGGCAAATGTCGGCGCTGAGATAGAGCAAAATCCTAATGATCCAGTGTACATGCAACTGGCACAGGAATCATTGCAGAGGTATTCTGTAAATACCGGAAACCGTCAGTCGTACTCAGTGGGCCGAATACAAGAGGTAACCACTCAAGTAGTTTCGGGTTTTATGACTAGAATACACTTTACAGCAGTGCCAAATACAAATCACGATGGTGTTGTACTTGAGTGCTTTTCAAAAATTTGGGAGAATATCAAAAAGGAAATTGACGTTTCCTGCGTGGATGCGAATGAAAGGTCTAAAAGGCAAATAGTAGGCGGTGAGACGGAGCAAAATCCCAACGATTTAGTGTACATGCAAAAGGCACAAGAATCTTTGAAGAAATATCTTATTGAGACCGGAAACCAGCAACCACTTTTAGTAGTCCGAATAAACAAAGTAACTACTCAAGTAGTCTCGGGCACCATGACTAGAATAAGCTTTATAGCAGCACTAACTACAAATTCAAATGATCATGTATATGAGTGCTTTTCGAAAATTTGGGAGCAGCCCTGGCTTAACAAAACCGAAATTGATGTTTCCTGCCTGGATACGAATCAAAGGTCTAAAAGGGATAGAATAGCAGGCGGTGAGACGAAGCAAAATCCCAACGATCCACTGTACATTCACCTGGCAAAGGAATCCTTGCAGAAGTATCTTGCAGAGACCGGAAACTCTCAGTCGTACACAGTTGGCGGAATACAAGAGGTAACCACTCAAGTAGTTGCGGTTTTTATGACTAGAATACACTTTACAGCAGTACCAAATGCAAATTATGATGGTGTGGTACTTGAGTGCTTTTCAGAAATCTTGGAGCTCAACATAAAGGAAATTGATGTTTCCTGCGTGGAAGCGAATCAAATGCCTAAAAGGCAAATGTTCGGCGCTGAGATAGAGCAAAATCCTAATGATCCAGTGTACATGCAACTGGCACAGGAATCATTGCAGAAGTATTCTGTAAATACCGGAAACCGTCAGTCGTACTCAGTGGGCCGAATACAGGAGGTAACCACTCAAGTAGTTTCGGGTTTTATGACTAGAATACACTTTACAGCAGTACCAAATACAAATCACGATGGTGTTGTACTTGAGTGCTTTTCAAAAATTTGGGAGAATATCAAAAAGGAAATTGACGTTTCCTGCGTGGATGCGAATCAAAGGTCTAAAAGGCAAATAGTAGGCGGTGAGATGGAGCAAAATCCCAACGATTTAGTGTACATGCAAAAGGCACAAGAATCTTTGAAGAAGTATCTTTTTGAGACTGGAAACCAGCAACCACTTTTAGTAGTCCGAATAAACAAAGTAACTACTCAAGTAGTCTCGGGCATCATGACTAGAATAAGCTTTATAGCAGCACTAACTACAAATTCAAATGATCATGTATATGAGTGCTTTTCGAAAATTTGGGAGCAGCCCTGGCTTAACAAAACCGAAATTGATGTTTCCTGCCTGGATACGAATCAAAGGTCTAAAAGGCAAATAGTAGGCGGTGAGACGGAGCAAAATCCCAACGATTTAGTGTACATGCAAAAGGCACAAGAATCTTTGAAAAAGTATCTTTTTGAGACTGGAAACCAGCAACCACTTTTTGTAGTCCGAATAAACAAAGTAACTACTCAAGTAGTCTCGGGCATCATGACTAGAATAAGCTTTATAGCAGCACTAACTACAAATTCAAATGATCATGTATATGAGTGCTTTTCGAAAATTTGGGAGCAGCCCTGGCTTAACAAAACCGAAATTGATGTTTCCTGCCTGGATACGAATCAAAGGTCTAAAAGGGATATAATAGCAGGCGGTGAGACGAAGCAAAATCCCAACGATCCACTGTACATTCACCTGGCAAAGGAATCCTTGCAGAAGTATCTTGCAGAGACCGGAAACTCTCAGTCGTACTCAGTTGGCCGAATACAAGAGGTAACCACTCAAGTAGTTGCGGGTTTTATGACTAGAATACACTTTACAGCAGTACCAAATGCAAATTATGATGGTGTGGTACTTGAGTGCTTTTCAAAAATCTTGGAGCTCAACATAAAGGAAATTGATGTTTCCTGCGTGGATGCGAATCAAATGCCTAAAAGGCAAATGTTCGGCGCTGAGATAGAGCAAAATCCTAATGATCCAGTGTACATGCAACTGGCACAGGAATCATTGCAGAGGTATTCTGTAAATACCGGAAACCGTCAGTCGTACTCAGTGGGCCGAATACAACAGGTAACCACTCAAGTAGTTTCGGGTTTTATGACTAGAATACACTTTACAGCAGTGCCAAATACAAATCACGATGGTGTTGTACTTGAGTGCTTTTCAAAAATTTGGGAGAATATCAAAAAGGAAATTGACGTTTCCTGCGTGGATGCGAATCAAAGGTCTAAAAGGCAAATAGTAGGCGGTGAGACGGAGCAAAATCCCAACGATTTAGTGTACATGCAAAAGGCACAAGAATCTTTGAAGAAGTATCTTTTTGAGACTGGAAACCAGCAACCACTTTTTGTAGTCCGAATAAACAAAGTAACTACTCAAGTAGTCTCGGGCATCATGACTAGAATAAGCTTTATAGCAGCACTAACTACAAATTCAAATGATCATGTATATGAGTGCTTTTCGAAAATTTGGGAGCAGCCCTGGCTTAACAAAACCGAAATTGATGTTTCCTGCCTGGATACGAATCAAAGGTCTAAAAGGGATATAATAGCAGGCGGTGAGACGAAGCAAAATCCCAACGATCCACTGTACATTCACCTGGCAAAGGAATCCTTGCAGAAGTATCTTGCAGAGACCGGAAACTCTCAGTCGTACTCAGTTGGCCGAATACAAGATGTAACCACTCAAGTAGTTGCGGGTTTAATGACTAGAATACACTTTACAGCAGTACCAAATGCAAATTATGATGGTGTTGTACTTGAGTGCTTTTCAAAAATTTGGGAGCAGCCCTGGCTTAACAAAACCGAAATTGATGTTTCCTGCCTGGATACGAATCAAAGGTCTAAAAGGGATAGAATAGCAGGCGGTGAGACGAAGCAAAATCCCAACGATCCACTGTACATTCACCTGGCAAAGGAATCCTTGCAGAAGTATCTTGCAGAGACCGGAAACTCTCAGTCGTACACAGTTGGCGGAATACAAGAGGTAACCACTCAAGTAGTTGCGGTTTTTATGACTAGAATACACTTTACAGCAGTACCAAATGCAAATTATGATGGTGTGGTACTTGAGTGCTTTTCAGAAATCTTGGAGCTCAACATAAAGGAAATTGATGTTTCCTGCGTGGAAGCGAATCAAATGCCTAAAAGGCAAATGTTCGGCGCTGAGATAGAGCAAAATCCTAATGATCCAGTGTACATGCAACTGGCACAGGAATCATTGCAGAAGTATTCTGTAAATACCGGAAACCGTCAGTCGTACTCAGTGGGCCGAATACAGGAGGTAACCACTCAAGTAGTTTCGGGTTTTATGACTAGAATACACTTTACAGCAGTACCAAATACAAATCACGATGGTGTTGTACTTGAGTGCTTTTCAAAAATTTGGGAGAATATCAAAAAGGAAATTGACGTTTCCTGCGTGGATGCGAATCAAAGGTCTAAAAGGCAAATAGTAGGCGGTGAGACGGAGCAAAATCCCAATGATCCACTGTTCTTTCACCAAAGGTCTAAAAGGGATATAATAGCAGGCGGTGAGACGGAACAAAATCCTTATGATCCGGCGTACATGCAACTGGCTCAGGAATCTTTGCAGAAGTATCTTGTAGAGACCGGTAATCAGCAATCGTACTCAGTTGCCCGTATAAAAAAGGTAACCACTCAAGTAGTCGTGGGTTCTATGACTAGAATACACTTTTTAGTGGAACCAATCGGCAGTCGCGGGGACAATACAAGTAAGTGTATTGCAGAAGTTTGGACGCAACCCTGGATTAACAAAAAGGAAATTGATGTGTTCTGTGAAATTGTCAATATAAATGGGAGTGGATTAATAGAACAAAATCCGAGCGATACGCATTATTTAGAATTGGCAGAAAAATCTTTGCAAAAGTATCTTGTTGAAACCGATAATAAAGAACCACATAAAGTAATAAACGTGGAAAGTGTTACTACTCAATTTTTTTTTGGAATACTTATTAGACTGAATTTCATTGCTGTATCGATGAATGTTTCTAACAGTGTCGTGATGAAATGTTTTTCTGAGGTGCAGGAACAATCAGTCACTCAAAATATAAATATCAAAGTTTCATGTCACATTGTGTATAGAAATTCTGAAGACCTTAAGAACACAACATATTTGCAATGGGCTGAGGAATCTTTACAAAAGTATCTATCTGATACTCAAAATAACCAATCATACAAAGTAGTCCAAATAGAGGAGGCATCTTCGCTTGGTTTTGGGACAAATATTATCTTCGTGGCCAATTCTACTAGTAAAGACAATGGTTCGCTAAATTGCGTTTCGTTCATATGGAATACGTTCAGTGAAAAGAGAATTAATGTAATTTGTGAAACTGCTGATTCAGACTTAAGAAAAAAGTCGAGTCCTAAGGATGATCCTAAGTATAATAAATACACAAAATATCAATATAATGCACACAATAAAGTAGAAGATTTAACCGTCACTAAGCCTGAATTTCAGTTATTAGCTTCACAGTCTTTACGACAATATTCGAAGAAAGTTGGTATTCTTTATAAACTTTTTTCTGTGAAAATGGTAACAAAGAGCGGTACTTCTGAAGTCGTCTACACAATATATTTTACTGCTTTTCCGACCGATTGTTTTTCTAACGTTTCAAATATGCGTGCACTTACTTGCAATGTGATAGCCAATTCTACGGTTAATTGTAAAGCTAAAATTGTTGGTGAACCAAATCAAAAAAGAAAGATACAAGCAGATTGTGTAATGCCTGAAGATTACTTAGATCTTTTAGATACAATGGAAGAAAATTCAGATGAAACGCCAACTAAAATTAAAATACCTCGTAACATACAGGAATCGAACGCTCATAAGTTTGCTGAGGAAGCGTTACAAGAATATTTGTCTTGTACAGATACAAAATACGTTTATAGAATAACTGGTCTTTACGGGTTTTATGAACATTTAGCCGACGAACAAATTGAATTTTCTATTTCGCCAACTACATGCTTAAGTATAAAATTTACAGATACGAGATCTACTGATAACTGTCCTTTTAAACAACCCCGGCTTGTATATTATTGTCATGCAAAAAGAAATTCACGCGCAGAGGGCAAGAAAAAAATTAAAGTAATATGTAAAGAAATGCAAACGCCTTTAAAACGGTCAAAGCGCCAAATAAATACTGAACTTATTGATGATACAGAGAATGAAGTGGATGAAGATACTATGTATTACTACGCAAAAGCGGCAGTAAGCAAAATCAATGAAAAGCCACAAAATAATAACATGTTCAAGCTAGTTAGTATTCATGATGTTAAAAGTACTGTGCAAATGAAAGCTGTAGTGGTGAAAATGTATCTCGAAGTAGCCGAAACATACTGTGTTAGATTCCAACTTGGTGTTACAATTGAAAATTGTGAGGAAATGGAAGGTCTGAATCACAAGTTATGTTTGGCTAGAATATATCCTGCACCCGGTGATGACCTAGTGATAAGACATGTAAACGTAGTTTGTGATGATGATGAAATATCATTTAATGTTCTTACTGGGATTCACGTATTTGAACTTCTTAGACTGTCATTACTAGAGCTTGAACGGAAGCCGGAGTCTCATTTTAAGCTGGTTCATCAAGGTGAACCACAACTAATTCCTACTCTTGAAGCTAAGAAACCATTAAAACTTAATTTTGTCATTGCAACTACAAATTGTTCAAAAAATGTAGATCTCGATAAAAATCCATATCAATGTTACATTGATACTACAATACCGTCAAGATCTTGTTCGTCGTTTATCTGGTTAGAGACCGCCACCAGAATTATTAAACACATTAATGTTGATTGTAATAGTGAAATACCTCGACAAAAGAGGTCATCAAATGCGACAAGTCTTAGCCCAGATAGTACGGAAATTAAAGAGTTGGTTGCTGCAGCATTAGAAAAGCTTGAAATGACATCTTTACACAAATACAAACAAAGAGTTCTTCACATAAATAGTTACTCTAGTAAAATAACAACAGGAAAAGTAACAACTATAGATTTTGACGCGGCCTACACATCGTGTCTAAAATATGAATGGGTTCAGAATACAACCAGTTGCGATATCATTGATCATTTGCCGAGAAGGCATTGCGTTGCTCAGATATGGGAAAGACTTTGGATACACAATGGAAGACACATTAATGTAACGTGCGAAGACGATGAAACTCCTTTAGAAGCTCATATTGAATTTGAGAGTGCTGAGATGGCAATGCAATTAGCACAAGAAGCATTAAAACATATAGAAGCAAAATATCCACATCCACAAAAACAAAAAATTGTAAGAATATTTTCATTGGAGAAACAAATAGTAGCCGGTATTCACTACAAAATGAAAGTAGAAGTTGGTTTTACCCGCTGTCCAGCTTTAAGTATACAAACCAATTGTACATTGGATAATGAGCGACATATGAATCGGTTCTGTCGGGTAAATGTGTGGGTGCGACCATGGACCGAGCACCCACCCAATTTCCGAGTATCCTGCGATTTTCAAGAAAGTTCTACATCGGATTTGTATCATGGTGTACAAGCTGAGTATTTGTTCTACATTTTTGTAGCTACTTATAACCCGAGTTATTCGAATGATCATGTAGAATTTGAACGTAGATTTGAAATATTCAAAGCAAACATAAAAAAAATTCATGAACTAAATGTGCACGAGAAGGGCACCGCTACTTACGGTGTGACTCGATTTGCCGATTTGACTTACAAAGAGTTTAAGGCTCGATACACGGGTGTGAACAGGAGTTTGCGAAATAACAGTCAGGTTTCTATGAAAAAAGCGGACATACCGAATCTTAATTTGCCCGCAAACTTTGACTGGAGAGAGTTTGACTCCGTCACTGAAGTAAAGGACCAAGGTTCCTGTGGTAGCGGTTGGGCGTTCAGTGTTATAGGTGAGACAGAAACTAAACTAACATTTTTTTTTTGGTTTATAATACAACTCCTGCCCTTAGAATTTATAGTGTATCGCGGACTTTATAAACATAGGTGTACATGAAACGGACAAGAAGAACACCCAGACTCAGAACATCCGTGCAGTCATATTGAGACGCAATTTGTATTTGATTATCCAAGAATGCTTGGGATAAATTTAGCACAGGCTATTTCATAATGGAAATGTGATGTGGGCTAGTGTGTCTTTTATTTAATTTTCCATTTTTTTCATATTTTACTTCATTTTATTTTTATGCCATCTTTTTTCTATATCTTGTTTCCTCTTCATTGCTTTTTACCTTTTAGTTCTTAAAACTGACATACTGGCACACATCAAAACAATGTTGTGTATATTTAATGATGCCATTATATGTATTTGTTGATTAAAATATAGTGGCCATGAGTTTGTTTGCCCTTTCTCCCCATGAGGCTCAACCCCTTGGAAATGGGCGGTTTTAGATCGGCACAGGCATATAAGAGATTTTTGATACGTATATATTTAGTTTGCTAAATATGTGACAAAACAGAGATTGCTGCTATTGTGTGTTGATCTATGACTAAGTCTACACAAGAGCCGATTTCAAATATTTTTTCTAATGAAATAAAGATATTTTGAGTTGAGTTGAGTCATGGACTATTAAAGGCTGTCGATGATGATGATGTGTGTGCTCTACTGAAGTTTTGCTTACTGGTAAATTGTGCTAGATACACCGATACAATCGCAATAATATCTTACTTCGTCCGGACTTGACATGTCATTAGTTCCCAGATGTGTGGACGCACAAAGTCATTTGTATTTTTGTTATGATCATGCAGGAAATATCGAGGGTCAGTGGAGGATGCAGTCAGGCGAACTGGTGCAGCTATCAGAGCAACAGCTGTTGGATTGTGATACCACAGATAATGGCTGTGGTGGTGGATTGCCTGAGCATGCATACAGGTACTATTGAAACTGAAGTTCCCCGTTTATATATAAATGTATGTATGTTGTTAATATTAATTTATAATTATCGCTTTTATATTATACTAGCTGAGACCCGCGGTGTTACCCGCGTTTGTTGTTATAACCGCGGGCAACGCCGCGGGGCGAAGCTAGTCTAATAAAAGTAGCCTAAGTTACAGCCTTATGTCATCAGCTATCTGCCAGTGAAAGTCCCGTAGAAATCGGTCCAGCCGTTCCAGAGATTACCCGGAACAAACAGACAGACAGACAGACAGATAGACAGACAAAAATTGTAAAAATGATATTTTGGCATACGTACCGTGTAAACATCATATGCATGTACTAATAAGCGGTTATTTTAATATTACAAACAGACACTCCAATTTTATTTATTTGTATAGATGATGATCATGATGATATGTATATGATTCCCTTTATTTCTATTCTTAATTTGTTTCTTTTTTTTCGTCCTTTAATTCGGTTCGGTTTGTACAGTCAAATTTTAATAACTTTCGATAAACTAAGGAGTCCTAACGCGGCGTGATTTCTTCATCAAAATTGGGTCCTTAACTAAGCTGCCTGTGCGAGTTTCTTTCGATGTTGCACAAACCTGATAAGTTTAATCATATGTTGATGTTATATAGCCTGTATCCTTCCTCGATAAAAGGGCTATCCAATACTAAAGTAATTTTGCAATTCGAATCAGTTGTTCCTGAGATTACGCAGAACATAAAAACTCACTAACTTTACCTCTTCTTTATTTATAATTAATATTAATATAGCTAATAATAATAATAATTTATTTCTCAGAACAATATAGTGTACATTACATAAGTTCTAATACCCTTCCTGCATTCCTTAGCACATCATCCTGCCTCAAAAAGCCGTGGTAGTTTTAAAGAGTAGTAATACTTAGGGTTTTTAACTTGCAAGGAAATCTAACAACGAATAAAACTTGATTATTAAACTTAGTGTCAATATGAAATTTCATCTAATGATACGTTATAAGCGACTCAGACGGCATACAGACATACAACGTCCGGGGTAAGTTCTCACACGAAATAAAAAAGTTAAACCTTTTATTTAGTAAAGTAAACTAAAGCCCTTAAAGTCTGTTGCTTTGTTGTGAACGAAATGTTTTGCCTTAGTTACCTGTAAAAGATTGCCAAGGCCACTAATTGTACTAGCTGCATTATACTGATTTTTCTCTTCGTATTATGTTTAATGTACAATAAGGAGCTTTATTATTATTAACAAACGTGTAACCAATAATGCGTTGTAAAACTAAACGCTGTTTGACATTATTAATACTACGACTCAGCAGGATCAGGAGTCACAAACGCGTTGCCAAAGATACAATTTGATATGGAGATAGTTTGATTATTGAGAAAGAACATAGCAAATACAAATGCTAGTAATGTATAAGCCACGTTTTGTGTACCTTGCTCACGGTTATAATGGTTTAAAAGGAAGCTATTAAATTACGTTATCTTAACTTGATTCGTTCAACAAGTGAACTTGCGAATTCATTATAATATACGGTGTAAACTATTATGTAAGTCTTTCTTTACGTATAAATGAGTTTTTAAAGTAAAACTACTTAGATAGAAACTAAGAGTGAATTCTAAGATGGTTCAAGTTTTTGGGACATTTCTCTAAATGACAGCTAAAAACGATAGAACGTAAATTGAATTATAAAGATGATGTGTATATTTTAAAGAAAAGAAAGAAAGAAATAAGACGTTTATGTCCTATTTAGTTGGTTTTTATGCCGTCTGTATTCTTTTCTATAACAAATAATATGTAAATACGGGATCGATTTCTTTATTTTGCTTATCCATACTTTCATACGTCGTACACTTATTATAAACTAGCTGACCTTGCAAACGTTGGTTAGCTATTTACATTATTTAAAAATGTTTTTATTTTTTTTTGAATTTCGTAAAATCCATTCTTAGCTGACCTCTACTCGGTGAAAAGAATATTCCTACCAAATTCCAAGTCTTTAGCTCTAAAGGTTGCAGATATATCGTGATGAGTGACTATATACGTGGAAATCTCTTATATATATAGATGTAAAAGTGAGATTGTTTGTTACGCTTTTACGCCTTAGGTACCTAACCATTGAACCGATTTTAATAAAAAATTTATCAATGGAAAGTTACATTGTCAGAATTAACATAGGCTTCTTTTTACCGCGATAACTGACATACACGCGGGTGGAGCCGTGGGCAAAATCTAATGTTATATATTAAATCTGATTGAGACTTGTATATGCATGTTTTTTTTTTGAAAGTCGAATTAGTCGGGAGTGTTCTTAGCTATGTTCGATGAAAATCGGTCCAAGATGGCCGCCGCCACAAAATGGCGGATTATATAATATATTTTTTCACAACTCCCTCAATAGATATTAAATGAAAGGGCTTGACTAGTAGAATACTATACAACTTGACAAATTTCAAATCCAAGATGTCTGTCGGGAGTTTTTTAATTGATAGTTCACCAATTAAGTTTAATATTTAAAAAATCACAAACAAAAGTTACATCGTCAGAAATACTTAACCGGTGATAATGTAGCTTTCCAATGGTGAAATAATTTTATAAATTGTTTTAGTGTTTGAGGTATTAAGTAGATACATACTTTTGATTTGCCTGACGTTTCAACCAAGCGGCACTGCCTGACTGATCTTAGTCAGCCTGTCAGTTGACCAGAGCAAAGTTAATACCTATCGTGACCGCGTTAATGCTTTAACGTTATTTATTCTCTTTATAGTTATGTCTCATTAATTGCCCATAGTTTCTATTAAAGATATTTCCCTATAGTTGAAAGTAACATTGAAGATCCATCACAGTATTTTTTTCTTTCCATCAAGCCACAGTAATAAAATGAACGTAAATATTCTACAGAGCTGTTGAGGAGATGGGAGGTTTAGAGACAGAGACCAACTACCCATACGAAAGCGAAGGTGGCAAGTGCGCGTTCAATAAAACAATGGCCAAAGTGAAGATCCAGGGCTCTGTCAACATCACCTCTAACGAAACGGCCATGGCGCAGTGGCTGGTGCAGAACGGACCCATCTCAGTGGGTGAGTGAGAGTTTCTATCGAACTTACATTGTAAAACCAGGGCAAGCGATCATTAGAACATCGTTAACCCAACCGATCAAAAAACAAAGCCAAACAATCTTTCTTCCTCTGAGCCTCGGCCCCAAACTAGGTTGGGTCGTCTTTAAGTCCACTTCGATATGGCTGAACTTGAAAACTATGCCAAACAACCGATGGTCAAGAAGTAGATTAGAGGATCATGAAAAAATGTTATATTCTATATGGTTAAATGGTGAAATGTTATGTGTACATAACACATAATCTATAGCTAAATGTCACGAAAAGTGTCGATAAATAAAAAAGACTTGTAATGTTTATATGCATTCGACACACAAAATTGATTTCAGAGCAGCAACAACTTTTTAAATAATTGAAAAAATTAAATCGAAACAGTAACCAACTGTGACCTTTTTAGCACTTGTGTTCTTTTGAATATGATATAGATATATTTCTGTATTATCTCTATATTTCTGATTGTAATTTAAGATCTTCTTCTTCTTCTTCTTTCTGATTGTAATGTAAGATTTTGAATAAAATTAAACAAATAAGGCCGTGTTTACAGCAGATCTTATGAGGCAACAGTAAATCATATTAAATAAGGATTATTGCTGCCGAAAGCTGAAATTTCCTATGCAGAAATTTGGTGGGTGCATTCAAAAAAATGTCCGTGTGGTGACGGATTAAGAATACAAATTGTCACCACCCCAATTCATCCCGTGGGTGTCGTAAGAGCCGACTAAGGGAGCAAACTAAGCAGGACAACAGCACTGCAAAGAGAAGGAAAACTTAAACAAACCCTATACCAACCCGTCTGGCCAGCGTGGTATAGTAGGCCAAAACCTCCTTTCTAAGGAGAGGCATTTCTATGTCCAGCAGTGATTGGGTTGCAAACCTCTTACACCGGTGAAAACCAACAAAAAAATTTTTGAAATGAAAACTTCTTTAGGCGCGTTGGGCATCTTAGAACAAACAAAAGAATTTCGAATCGAAAAAAAAAACAAAAAAAAAAACCTGTTAAAATCAAAAATCAAGATTTCACTTCTGTCCGCACTGAAATTGTTTTTTTTTTAAATCGGTTTTTTGTGACGTCGTGGTATCATTCAGGTAGGATCGTCCCGCATGTTAAATATTCTTAGATATATTGCCACTTGCACCTGCCCTTAAACCGCAAAAAAGTTTTGGCGGAGAGTATAATAAAAGTCGATATTTTCAGGTATTAACGCAATGACGATGCAGTTCTATGTGGGTGGCATTTCTCATCCCTGGAAGTCGTACTGCAACGCTAGCAGTATCGATCACGCTGTACTTATTGTTGGTTTTGGAGTGAAAGGTAAAAAAACCAGTTCATTTTGCACATTCAGAAATAGATTTTTGGCGAAATTTATATATTTAAAAAATATATTTTAGCGCTTTTAGCGAAAACAAGCCGAAAATCGTATCTACTGGCTGTGTACACGTGTATAAATTAAGAAGCATACTTATACCGATTAGTATATGTTTATGTGTTTATATAAAATAGCAGGACTTAATATGTCTGTACATTCATTAAAGATAAGTCATACAAATCCTTTTTTTTAAACGTTGAACCGACTTCAAATATTGTCTGAAGTCTGTTCAACTGTTTTAAAATATATAGATAACTAAGAGCACTTAAAACCGAGCCGCAATCGCGTTTTGTTTGTCACTTTTTGAAGAGTACTGTTGTTTATCTCCGGAACTCCTGATCAGATCTAATGAAAGTTGACCAAAAAATTGACGGAGTTGTGCCCGAACATACATTAAAAAAAAACGAATTGATAATCTCCTCCTTTTTGAAGTCGGTTAAAACCATGAAACAACGATTATAAAATTATATTCTTATCTGTTGTCTCTTTGTTGATTACATCTCCAAAACTACTAAACAAATTTTCATGTAGTTTTTACTGATGGGCAGTATATGATAGGCATATATTTATGTATATTATAAATTATTCATTAAAATCAGAGGTTGGAAAAATTGCGTCATCATTTTTAAATATTGGTTTTTTAGCATAATATGCGCTTTATCATTGATATTTGTAACTGGTTAAATGCCACTTGAACAAGTCGCGGGCGATGATAGTATACAAAAGTTTGATTTTGTAACATGATACTAATAGGCGGAGGTCCATTAAATTTTACCATTTTGCCTGTTGGGAAACTCCTCCTATTTTATTATCAGGCAAATTACATCCATAACTCATCATATTCATGAGTGACATTGCTCTAAACCGCTACCAGCAATGACTCGAGTAGTGTGTTTTGAACACCATGTCGTGGAGAGGAGGAATTCATATACAATGCTTGTGCTGTACTAATTTATTAACTATTGTGAGGCATATGCAGTACAAATCAAGCAGTGTATACTTTATTTTGTGACTTGGTAAGTTATTATGAACAGGATATTTACCATATTCATTTTTGGAAATTAGTCTCCGATTTGGCTTGGAACGGTGGCAAAATAAAGTAACCTAAATGGTGAATATCCAGTTTATAATAAGTTATCGAGTGAAAATGACCATGTTAGGCAGTCTATTTTGTAACTTAATGAGTGATAAACTTACATAACTCTACAAAACATGATTCCCTCCCCATCGCTGTTGACCATAGTTAGTGATGTACTAACCCTTTTCTTCTTACAGAATATCCGGCATACCACAAGAAGATCCCGTACTGGATAGTAAAGAACTCTTGGGGTAAGTCCTGGGGCGAAGAGGGCTACTACCGAGTGTACAGAGGAGACGGCACGTGTGGTATCGACCGGATGGCAACCAGTGCTTTTATACCTAGTATGTAAGAGACAGCCCTAGCGAGTATCGGATAAATAAAGAGTTGTTGATTATAAATTTGTACTATATTCTTTATCCCCTAACTTTTGATATGATACTGTCTGTGAGAGGATAAATATTTAACAATGATGTAAAGAGATTTCACTCACTTATCAATTACATCACTCGTCACTTATCAACTCACTCACCTACCTGAAGAGCGGACTTTGTACCAATTATTGTTAAGTAGATCGTATAAAGAATTTAAGAACTAAAAAAAAATAGTAGTGAGAAATTAGAAATTTTATAAATTTTAAAATATATTTAAAAACTGATACATTTTTAATTAAATAAAAACCATAGTAGCGTAGTAAGTAGCTGTTTGCACTTTGTCTGCTAGATGTGATGAGAAAGCGTAAGTTATTACTGAAATTACTGACTCACTTTATCTCAATCACTCCAGAATGCCAATTCTCGTAATAAAATTAAGTTCTAATCTACTCTCGATCTCACAAATGTCATTACTCTAGGGTACTCTCGTAGTAAAGTAGATATATCCAGTACAGTATTTAGTATTACGTCTTCTTACTAAGACTAGTAGAATACGGTTTTAGCCTTCAGTCACAATACGATAAAATCATTCTACCGTCAATGTTGCATGTTAAATAATTAATTACCAACCTGTCTGGCCAGCCACGCCTATAGTAGGTCAAAACCTTTCTAAGGAGAGGTCTGTTTCCAGCATTGGACTATTAATGGCTGTTGATGACATACATGATTGCACATTTATCTGCACCAAAACTTTATGCTAATACGGTTACCTTTAGTAAGATGTGACTCCTTTGTGCAAGCTATTGCCTACTGAGCTCTCCAACTAAGGGTTGAGAAGATTTGAATTTATTTATTTTTGTTGAAGTCCCTAACTGGCATCCTAAAATATATGTCGCCCAGGGTCCGACTATTCATATTATGCTAATAAGGGCCTAGAGTGCAAAGATCAAAGAGGGACAGCTCTTGCAAGCACTAGGGCTTAAGAATCAACAAGGGGACTGAGTGGGTTTTAAATAGGGACAGCTACAGTAGATACATAAAAAGAACAGGATTTCTTTAAAACATTTATTAAACTATGCTTAGTACAAGAAACTGAAACTTAACTTAAAAATTAACCTTACTAAGATTTCGTTACAAATCACACAACTGTTATTTTAACATTATATTTAATTATAACCATCTTACCTAATTTGTAATTTAGATTTATATAATCTAGATATGCTTGCTTTGTTTGTAGGCTGGACTAGTTAGCACGTGTACAAATTGAACTTTGAATCAGTTTGTGAATAGTGTTTCGCAAACTTGGCTACTAGCAGTACATTTACTGTTCAAGAAAAGATTTGCACAACGTCATGGTCAGGCAGGTCAGTGGTCGGTAAAGTTTGTGGAGAGCCGCCAGTGTTTCGTAAAATGACTGTGACAATTTTTTTTTTGACAACAATTTTACCAAATTTAACTGAGGGGTATACCGACAGTCAAATATGTACAGGACTTTATATATACCGACTTCCGGATATAGTTTTTTTTTTAATTATTAATTAAGTAACCAACTTGTACAACATTTATAGTTTCCATGAAGGTAACATACCAGATCTTCAGCCTATGGGGCGCTGTCAAAGGTGGGTACACTGTATAGGTGTTTTGGTAGCATTACTTGTAAGTCAGATCTTTCTTATATTTCTGAAGAGGCAAGCGAGCAGGCGGCTCACCTAATGGCGAGAAATAGGAGAACGGGAAGGGGGGGGGGGGGGGGGGGGAGGGATCGAGGGTCTCTTTTTTTTACACAATTACGTAAATGAGTATTTTTGCTATTTCAATACAGCGAGTTTTAGACACTTGATATTATTGATTCTATCAGTTGGTAAATTAAATAGTTTCTTAACACTGTTCAATTAGTGTTGAAAACTTTACAACGGCTGCGAGTCTGGCGAAATAGGACACAAATAAAGAAAAAAAAATCTATTGGTTACAATGTATGGCATAATATTTGGACGTTAAGACTAAAACTATTGAGATTTTATACATAACAATCCAGATCGACTTCGTCAAATTTTTAAAGGAATACGACTACTTTGTGGTTTATTAAGTCATAAGCGTTTATAGCGTCCAACAGTGGACTAGTAAAGGCTGTTGATGATGAAGCGTTTAGAAATAAATAAAAATGAAAAATTTATATCACGGGAATTAAAGCGTTCACAATAAGTACATACCTTTGAATTGCCTGACGTCTCAACCAGAACCCTAACTATCGTAAAAAAACTCGGTAACAATTCAGTTCCGATCAACTTTCGATCTCGCAACTGTCATTAAAAGGTATTTTCGTAGTAAAATAGTAATGCTAAGATTAGCAGATTACCGATTCAATTTTCGGTTACAATTCGATATAATCACATTGCAGTCAACAGCATTACGCCTATCGTGAGCTATTTAATTCCCGTAAACATAATCATATATTATAGTTAAAATTTAGTATATAATAATTTAATTACAAAAATATACATACTTAGGTAAGTAGTTTACATTAGTTTAGTAATTTTTATATTATGTAGTTATTTGTTATAGGTTTATCATGAAAGGGTTGTCAAAAAGATTATGTCCCACTAACCAGGTAAAAATTGCTCACTTTCTTTTTTGGCATAGTTTTAAGTATCACATGTTATCAAGATCTGCGTTTGAATATAATTGTTTTTAGATCTTATTGTCCTCCAACTTCCATAACATTGTTAATTTTATTATTTATAATATGTAAGTAGTGCACCAAGCTTTCAAATTCTTAATTCTCGGTTTTAGGCCAAGATAAAATCGGAAAATTTCATAAATTCTAACAATTTATCTATAGTTTTCTTTTTATCCGGATCTAAATTGTTTACAGCTTTGTTACACTCGGTTTTCGGAATAGAATTTCCCACGAACAGCTGATTTGCTTCAGTTTTGAGCTCATGGTCCTTGTTCGTTTCTTTGATGGGTGGCGATAATGAATCAGGTTCAGAACTTGATGAAACTTGATCATATGGTACTATTTGCTCTTCTAACGCTTTGATTTCATCTGCCGTTAAAGTATTTTCTTGACCAGGCACAGATTGGACATCCTTGTTTATTTGGACTTTTATCTCATCAGTGTCAGGAGATGTACTCCCATCTTTGTTATGATCGTCGCCATCTGTAGATTCAGGTAAGACTTCGCCATTATCATCAAATATCCATTCTTCTGTACAATTATTGGACAGGATTGATCTATATTTAGCACCACTGGGTAAGGTCTGCCAGGGTTTAACCAAAATTGAGATTCTGCACGTTTTAGTAGATAAACAGTTGTCGCTTAATGCTTCGGTGCAATTATTGAAATTAATAGATAGAGTTAAAATATACCGGACCCCATTAACGATCTGCAAAAGAAAATAAAGATATGTTACTACGATTATATTACGGAATTTCTATCAAAGATGCTATGGTAATAAATGGTTCCACCAAAACATTGTAATCAAAAGTCGGATATCGGAAATAAAATATTAACGTTTTGAATAACGTTCGATAGGACTAAGTAAAAGCTAAAAAAAAAAAAAATTAGAAAATCTTTTGACGGACTGCTGGTCTAGTGTTTAGGAATACTGACTAATGAGCCCGAGGTTGTGGATTCGATTCCCACAAAGGACCAATATTGTGCGATGAGCACGATCATTTGTTCTATTTCTGGGTGGTATTAATGTATAATATGTATGTTTTTAGAAATATATAAGTATTTTTGTCAGCAGTCTAATTACCATAGCACAGGCTCAGCCTAGTTTGGGTTTAAACCGGGTAGTACTACTAGTAAAAAGCAATAAAACGTAAGGTCAAGTAATTTCCACAGGCTGTTACAGTTCGAGATGAATCATTCAGTACCTACCTGCCTACTTGATTACAAGTTATTATACAGCTGATATCGTCAAGTCTAAGTTTAAGCGGTTTAAGTTGCAGCGCTAATGCAGCCATAACTAGTAACTAACGTGGCACTAGTTGCCTCCCTAGTGAGGAAGGTAACTAGAGCCACGTTAGTGCCTGCTAGGGTCTTGTGTAAGATGTGTCAAGGTATTATTATTTTTACTTATTAAGTAAAAGTAGGGACTTCTGTCCCCTTTTCGTTTATGTACTCTGAACTCGAAACGGTTGCAACCAATTAGAATGAGCGAGTTGAGTAGGTCGAACTTGAGGAAAATACACAAAATAGATTAAGAAAGTTTTATAGTTTTCATAGAATATTGACAGACATTGGTAAAATTAAATAAATTGTATTATGAAATATCTCAAAAAGCATCCCACGCTTTTTTTAAGGGAAGCTAATAAAAGCGTGTTAAAATAATAAAATGTATGCTAAAAAAACAATCTAGACGCCAGTGCAATAAATAAGGCCGGCAACGCGTATGTGACTCCTGAGTTGCAGACGTTCATGGGCGGCGATGGTCACTTTCCGTCAGGTGACCCGTCTGCTCGTCTGCCCCCTTTACATAAGAAAACGAAAAAGAAAAAATCGCATCTAATGCACTAACACAAGAATATGGGCGATCTCGTACTAATTGGTTACATATAGAAAGGGTCTACTTACTTGAACTTGTCTTTCCACATCTATCACAGAGTCCAGGCTATGTCTCACGCCCGGCTCATGAATATCTAGGTGCCTGACTCCCAAGTTAGCGAGATCTTGAACTCCCTGTGCCTGTGGATTGACATGTGATGAGCAGCCAATGCAAGGTGCGCTTGGCTGACTTCGAGGTATTGCTATGAACTGCTCTCCGGACGCAACCTGCAATAATATTGTCAATATATACATACACATATAAATAAGCAAAGGCAAGATCGCCATATTTTTATTTATTACTCGTTTCGTTTTTCGTTTTTAAAAAGACAACTCCCGCATTAGGAATATATTCGTGTGTCGCGGGGGACTTTACAAACATACATGAAACGGACACACAGAACACCCATTTCAGAATCAGAACAACAATTTGTGGATTGGACCAGCTGATGGATATTTAATTTGAACCCACAAAACTCGGCGTAATAGAAAGTGCAGTCAATATTATGTCTTAACATCGAATCCTTATGGTTTCGCCAAGTCCATCTGTCTGTTTACCCGTCAACATAGGCTTTTTTTTGTTTGTTTTATTATGTAAGGAGCAAAAGAGCAGATGGGAGAGCAAGAGGAGTATCATCACTCGAACTCGACTCGCTGCCGGCGAACCGGACAACGTAGGTTCGCCTTCCAGCGCCTCACGCCGCTCTGAGTGTGCCTGCGGTTGAACGGGACAGGTTTTCCCCTCCATCTGGCGACGTCCCCGCCCGCGCTATTGCGGTGCTGAGGGCCTAGTGTGAGTTTATTTCACACCAACTCGGTCCCGACAGCTAGACGTACGGCGTTGCGATTGGTGAAGGACTAATCGTAATGCTGAATCTGTTCTCAGATCCCTCCTATCTCAGGCGCAGAGTGATTTAGTTGGGCCTGCGTATCTTCACTGACTCGGTGAGAATTAATGAAAGAAAATAAATGTTTAACACTGGTGTTCTGTGAGACCATGGTATTACTGTGGACGAGCCCGCCCAATGTGCCGACGCATGCCGGGAAAGCGTGCACCTTTTGATTTAAATATTTATATGACATAAATATAAATATGAGTTCATACTCATCAAAATTACTCACACAACCTACACGTTCAGTTTATTTAAAACGTAGATGGATTAGTGACTCACTTTTAAGGTATAGTCTTATTAGTCATGCAAATGTTATACGTATCTGAGTATCCTTAAAAAGTGAATGTACCTACTTATTTAATATTGTCTTTATTATTCGCAAGACGATTTTCTTGTACTAATACATCATTATAACTATATTCACATCACATCACATCAACAGCCTATAACAGTCCACTGCTGGACATAGGCCTCTCCTTAGAAAGAAGGTTTCGGCCTATTCTTAATCCGTCACCACACGGAACTATATTGTTGATTTATAAATTACATTGCAGATAAATCAGGATCTACCCTCAAAGAAATATTATACATAGTTTTAGTTTATTTAATTATTATATGATAGTCGCGACTTCATACGCGACAGTTCATTTTGTATTTTTAACACCACCTTTAATGTTTCTATACCAATATTAGGCAAGAGTTAAATTCTCGGTAGAACCAGACTCGCTTCTGACATCACCAACAAACTGACATTATGATAAATTGTATTTCACGTTTCTCAGAATCAGCTTCAAATTAAGGAATAAAAAATTAAGTACATTACAATTCAACGCTATGGAGGCGCATTGAAGTGGATTATACTTTTTAAAGTTAATTCTATTCTTCAAGTAATTCAAAGAGTATTGTACGGACATCGTCATCGACATGAATATATATAAATAAACAGGAAAATGAATTATAATAATTATACGTATATAAGCAAAACTTATACGCAGAAGACGAGACTAGAGAAGTGTTTGAACATCCGCCATTACTCGGTAGTTATTTTAAGCAATTACCTATTACACGTTGGAGGAAGTTGAGACCTTCTGGCTTTTCCAATCAAATGTATTTTAGTGTATATTTTTTTATGACATAGGTGGTAAACGAGTAGCAGTATGGGTCACAAACTGAAGAGTTTAAATTGTTTAATAAGGTGTAACCGCACCAAGCGTGTTAAGTGACACCATTTAGACACACTGTTTTTTATTGTTCTTTTCAATAATTACTGCTAAAAAATTATTGCATTTACGGAAATTAACGCGCTCACGATAGGTATTAAGTACATACCCTTAACATGCCTGACGCTTTGACCAAGTTGCACTGGCCGAGGTTAATTCCCGTAACACAGTTATAAACGAGTATTCTGGCACGCAATAGTTAGTATAGTTGTTAAAATTTTATGTTTTCACATAACTTAAAGGCACTTACTATTTATATACATACACATTACACATTGTACATATATATTTATTGCAGAAACATCGATAATAGAGGTCTTTATCCTTGACATATTTTATATTATAATAAAAACGATAATAAATCTCTGTACTCATTTAATTCCCAGATACTGACTAACATATGATGCTTTATTTATATACATATACAAGTACATTGGGCCAGCTCCACCGGAATAATATCACGAAACGAATACTAACAGAATACTGCTGTAAACCAATAGGTGGGCCTGTTGGTCTAGTGGTTAGTGACCCTGACTGCTAAACCGGAGCTAAAACGGTTACCGATGTCTATAAACATTCGGAACAAAAATTGTGCTTTACAAAATATGTGATACAAGCGATCTCGTCTAAATAACGCCGTATGTAACTTTAACCATTTAGATGCCTTAAAAATGAACTATGTTCACAATATGCACAAAAATATTGTCAACATAACACAGGAAAAAGGATTTTTGGAACTTTCTCCTTTTTCAAGTTAGTTAAGAAGTCGGTATGTAGTTGTTCTGTCGCAAACACCAAATTTAAAAAATTCTAAATATAAGTTAATACATAAATAATATAACAAAATGATGCAAGACCTTGAAACATGTATGAGTTGACCTACAGATAAATTATGTAAGAATTCGCTTTCGGAGTGTAGTTGTAGATGAGTTGTGTAAGCAAAAAAAAACAAACAATGAAATCGATTCTGATATACTTACTTAGATTGAACTTAAACAATCAAAATCTAAATGTCTATCTTACTTTAGATTTCAATTTACTATCCTATTCTGATATAGTAACAAAATGAAGGAACTTCATAATGGATTTAATTTGATTCTGCCATTACTTAGGTTTATTTTTTGACTGTTTATCAAATCTACATTTTATTATTTAGTATGTGCCTCGGACATAAATGGTAGATTTCGACATACATATATGTATGTAATCTTTGGTCCTCTAAATGTATTTGCAATATATTACTAATTTTTTTTTTTTTAATAAGTAATTATGTATTGTTAACAATCGGGCGCCACTATATTTAATATATTAATTGAAAGAAAATTCCTTAAATTTAATTGAAATGGGCTTGCAGCGGAACGGGGTGTGTCGGCATCCAACCAACACCACCGAAAAATACGCAGTTTTAACACTCTGTGCCTGAAATGGAAGGGATCCGCCACAACTGTTATTAAGACATCTGGAGTGACATAGTGTGCCTAAAGTTTTCCAGAGATCAAAGAGAATCGAAATCCTAATAACCTTTTGCTTTCGGTATATTATTTTTTCTGTATATTTCTACAAAAGTGCTGTAATGCTGATATCAATAAACTGGTATTTTATTCTACAATCCGAAAGATGATGTATTAGGTATTTACTGCTAAAGCGATATGAGTAACCTTAAATACCTCATATTACTAGACCTCTTCATAACACCTTAACTGATAAACACTAACCCCTGTATCAGTATTTTCTTCATTTTCCAGCAACACCGGTTTCCTTTCTGCTTGAACTTCAGCAGCCTCGAGACTAGCATCCCCAGCAGCTTGTTGCTCTAATTCCTCACAATCTATAGCATTGTTAACAACTGCAATACCTCTATCATCCAAGTCCTGTATCCCAGCTGAACATTTCATCAGTTTGGATTCATCATCATGTTTAGCACTAAAACCAATCTCAATTTGATATGTTTTATCATCCTGTAATAGAAATAATTGTGAATATTTTCAGACAACTTTTCAGAATTAAAATCTCAGAAATTTATCCATTAGGTGACAGACAACATTAAAGGAAGAAAGGAACATCAGAGAAGAAGAATGATCTTTGAAAACTAATTACCATTTAACTTCTGTTATGGCTTGACTTTTTTTTTAAATCTTTATTCATTTAGAAGCTTTTATTACAAAAAAATATGTTAAGTGTCATTTATTCTAAGATATTACTATGTTATGATAGGAGACAGGGGATGTTGTTGCTGTGAAAATATCTCAAATAGGTCTAACGCCCTTAGAATGCTAATGAACAGTCCTACATAGTACACATTAAGATTATATTTGCACATCATGGCTTGGCTTTCACATAAGTGTATCTATTATTTTAAATAGCACTAATATATGAAAGAGATAGCACACCAAACTTTTCTCTAAACAAAGCGATCAGAATGCTAATGTTAGGTTGTTTTTTGTTTATAGACCTTATGGGCACATGAAATTGTCAAGTTACTTATCTCTATTTAAAAAAAATTAAAGTGTTTAATACTGATTCAGTCACTATATATTATTGTGATAAAGTGACTACACAGTTGTGTGAGACATTGTTGAACTCATCTATTTACTACCATGGTCATGACATAAGTAGGTCCTAGACCCTGGTGGGAGACCAGTCTTAGCCCCATCAGCTGTTTAACGCACATGCGTTTGAAGTATTAAGATTTTCAAAGTTGATATACAACATTATGAAAATTAATAACTAATAACAATCAAAAGCTGCAAAAACTATGTTGTGAAACTTGCATTATTGTACAAGTTTGTATGTACTAGTTCATTCATGATTCGATGAATTTAAATTTTACAACTCTATACATTTTATGACCATAATTTATTGATGGACTTAAAGCACATTGTGTAGTAAAATAAATAGTAGTAAGTAAACTTATAATAATCATATAAGTGGAAATAATTCTGGTTTTACATTAACTACAGCATACTGTTGTTCTATCTGTTCTACCAACTTTTTCATTTCACTGTACAATATAAATAAGGATTTACTATAAGTAATTCTATTTTTTATAATGTATTTTTTCAATAAAAATCTATGTTGCATAAAGTTTCTTATAAACACAAAAAAAGAGATTATTATTCATGACAAACAATTGTGCAATAAGCTTACTATTTCTATGTCCAGGTAAAATTTGTCTATAATATTAAGAAATCTTTTAATATATACATGTTGTATTAACAGTTAAATTACCATAGTATAATCTGATTAGTTTGGGATTAGATCACTGTGTAAGGTGTCCCAAGTAATTATAGATATTTGTGTAGTCCAGTGACATACTTAAACATTTTTCAAGCTGAGGTTTATATATTCATACTGAATAATAAGCTCAATGTGACTATAATTGTTTCCCTCCAGTATACTGATTGTTTTATAATGAAGTAGGTCATGATAGCAATCTGGTAGGGCTTATTTTAAACTTAAACACATTTTAAAAATAATTATTGTCATGTAACTTTGGGATAACAGATAATTAATTGAGAGTTAGCAAATTAATTAAATACCTAATTGTGATATAAATAAGATAAAATGTTAAAGGTTTCGAACATCGATAACCTTACGTTAGGATATATGATCATGATCGTATGAATGAAGAAACACCAACAGATTTACTTACTATTTCGCTAATACTTCGTAAAAATCCTTCACTGGCCTTATAATTTGCATCAGGTCGTAGGTTACAATAATTAATAAAGTCGGACAATAACTTCGACTTTTTTTCTTCACTTACTTCGCACAAACAAAAACAAAGTAAGAAAGGCAGAAATAAAATAAATGATTTATAATTCATTATGAAATCGTCTATGCACCACCATAGTCGGACACAATGTGTAAGCGATGTGAGTAGGTAAATTTAAATTAAGTTACAGCCTATAATTCACTTGTTTACAATACGATACACATGAATCAATTCAACCACAGATTGTTTGGATGACAAACTTTCGGTTGCTGACATCATACTTCAAAAGTACTTAAAGTATGTAATGAAATAATATTTTATTTTTAACGTAACATGAGCAGTGTTGCCATCTCTTATAAATCTCTAGGCTCACTATTAAATTACTATTTATCAGTAATATTATTATTTTTAACAAAGGACAATTCTCGCACTAGCAATATATCTTGTGTCACGAGGGACTGTACAAATATTCATAAAACGGACACAAAGAACACCCAGACTCAGAATAACAATTTGTGGATCACAGAAATTGTTGTTCTATATGGGATTCAAACACACAACACTCAGTATGAAGCGGCGATTCGACCGCTTAAACCACTACGCCATCCGTGCAGTTTAATTGTTATAGTACTGCAACTATCCTAATCAGTTTGAAGTATATTTATTAAAATTACTCCTTTTTTGGTAGGACAGACTACAAGCTGTACCCTGTCATGCTTCGTTGTTGCACAATGTGGTTGTAAAAAATAACTAAAAGCCACGTTGAAGTGTGTTGTATCAAGTATAAGCTCGATAGGCGCAGAACTTTTAGAGTTTTTGAAGCCTACATAAAACAACCATAAATTTTATAAATATATAGTCTTATACTGCTCTATGTCTACAGCTCATTATCTTCATTAACAGAAACATCATAATTTTCCCCCAGAAATTTTTTGATTCGAAAAAATGGCATTCATTTGAATATGTTCATCTTATCATGTTCATGAGTTTCTTTAGATACGAGAAGACGTAATCTACTGCTTCTTATTATTTTTCGTATATGCGTATATTCGCATCATTTTTCATTGCAAGGATCTTCAAGTTTGCCATGCTCAAAAAAATATATTCTAACCGAATCGAATGCGTTTGCAACGACATGCGATTTTATCGCTTCATTTTGCGTCGATTACAGTTTTATAATCATAGAGCGTGGGACTGACTGAAAATGACTGCATGTCAATGTTAAGGGATAATTATGTACCTATATGTTTTTACGACGCTATAAATTTTGATTTTTTTTTTAAAAGGTTAATCCAGCATTTTTTTTACGGTTGCCATACACTAATAATTCCGACTTTCTTCCGCAGCCAGTTTGAGTTATGAATATACAACCCAGACTTGAATGAGCTATTCCTTACACACCTAACATTAATTGTTACCTCCTTCACTTTTTACCTCCCTCTCTTCTATTTACGTTCCTTATCAAAGTATTTTAGTTTATCTTTCAATTTACGGATTTACGCCAATAGTTTTGATCATCTAATTGCTCTGTAGCATTTAGATAAATTAAAGTAAATGTGATATTTTATATCGAAGATCGTAACCTTAATCCAAGATTAAACTTTTTTCAAGACACAGAGGAAACAAGTAATTCAAGTATATAATATGTAGCCGGAGCCTGAAATGAACGTTTCGATTATTTATAGGTAACAGATGTCTGTCCTATTGATTTGTAGTTAGAAACTATAAAATTTTACTATAGTCCATCTAATATACCGTTTCAAACTTTTTAAGAAGAAAAGATAGGCGTAACCCACACAATTTCAATTACCTTTTTCGTAAAATCGTGGTATTATGAAGCTATTTTTATTTAATCGCAAGTTATACAACTAAGGACTAAATTTAAATCTTTTAAACAAAGCAAAATAACCAATTTATACATAATAGATGTTTTTTTCAAACTTCGTTACAAAGTCTCGTACTTAGATAAGTAGTTTACTGTAGTGTTGCGGCGCTTCAAATTCACTTGAATATGAATAGTCGTTAAAATTTACGAAAAATCAAATTTATTAATAACCAGTCATTTTTTTTATTTTTTTTTTATTTATTTATTTAAGGTCGCTTTTTAACATCTCAGGTCATTAGCGACCACAATTGACAATAGGTATACATATATAATCACACTGTAGTTTACACTAGGTTATAGACATTGATCATTTTCAGAAAACTTAAAGTTTGCATACATCCTTCTTGATTTAAACAGTCTTGTAAATTATTTGGCATGTTACATAACTTTTTCTCGCTACAATAAGCTGTGCATTCCTCTAATAAATGCTTAACAGTTAAATCTAGCCCACACTTGCATTTATTTCTTTCGGTTTTAGTAATTAGATGAATATGTGTCATATTTGAGTGTCCGATACGTAGACGGGTGATGATCACTTGATCTTTTCTACAAGTAAAATTATTGGGGGATTTATTAAAAATAGACTTCCTTATACTATATAACTTTGATGTATTTTCTGTTTTCCAATACTCATCCCAAGTAGATTTAATTTTATGTTTGAGGTATTTTTGTAGTTCGTCTGGAGTTGATTTATTTGTATGCCAATTTTCGATTTCATTTATTGCTTGCCTCGCTTCATGATCTGCTTTTTCATTACCAACTATCCCTTGATGACTTGGAATCCAAATAATTTCAAATTTGTAGTTATTTTTAAGTAGGTTTATAATTTTTTGTTTAATTTCTATAACTAGGGTATTTGTGTTATTTGTACTTTGTAACGCTGTTAAGCATGATTTAGAGTCAGTATATATTATATATTTATCTGTATTAATATCACTACTTATTAGTTCCAAGGCTTTAAGGATTGCTATTGCTTCGCAACTAAAAATTGTATTAAAATCTCCAAGTCTATAACGGTAACAATTATTCCCATATACTATTGAACATCCTGATTTTCCGTCCTTAACTGACCCGTCCGTATAAAAAATCTTACAATCTGTGTACCTACTATTAATTTCTAAGAATAGGGTTTTGTACATGTATTGAGGAGTATCTTCCTTGTGGTTTTTTGATAATTCGAGGTTGATGGGCCAATCTAAGCTTTCCAATCTAAGATTTCTTCGTAAAAAAATTTGGAATCTTGAAATTAATTTCCTTTAAATATTTAGTTGCTCTTATTCTGAAGGGTCGCGGTAAATGGGATCGAAGTTCATATTCCGTGTCTGCAGCCGTTATTTTAGTGTAAATATAATAAGTTGGGTTTTCAGGTTGAGATGATATATTAATAGCATATCTTATAACCATTTCCTTCCTTCTAAATTCTAACGGCATTTCTCCAGCTTCAGCTAAAATACTATTAATCGGACTTGTTTTAAATGCACCAATACTCAATCTAAGGGCAGTATTTTGAATGCTTTCGAGAGAATTGAGTGTTCGTTTTTTTGCTGAGTCATAAACTACGCATCCATAATCTATTTTTTGTCTTATCAAAGCACGATATGTGTTTATAAGACATTTTCTGTGAGATCCCCATGATGTCGACGACAGAATTTTAATAACATTTAACCTTTTATAGCACTCAGATTTAAGTTCATTTATGTGTGGAATCCATGACATCTTTCTATCGAATGTTAATCCTAGAATTTTCATTTTGTTAACTTCTTTAATATTGTGTTCATTTAAAGTCAGCTGTGCATTTTTTGATTTAATTCTTTTACTAGACATGACCATGAATTCTGATTTAGTTTTTGAAAATTTAAAGCCTGATTTCTTTGACCATTCCTCAAGGACTCCCAGTGTATTCTGTATAAGTTTTAATGTTGGTTGCAACGATCTACCGCTACAAGTTAGTGTTAGGTCATCAGCGAAAAGAAACGCTTTGACCGGTTTATCAATAAGTGGAAGAATGTCGTTAATAGCTAGCAAAAATAGAATAACACTAAGTACCGAGCCTTGAGGTAGACCATTTTCTGTACGAACTGGGTTAGATGTTGTATTATTGATTCTTACTTTTATTCTCCTATCTGAAAGGAAGTTTCTAATGAACGCCAGAGCATTTCCTTTAATTTTGATGTCTTGTAATAATTTTAGTAACCTGTGTTTCCAAACCATTTCATAAGCTTTCTCAATATCTAATGCTACAATCACTGTATAAATATCATTAGCAAATCCATCCAGTATGTCACTTTCTATATTCACTAAATGGTCTATTGTGGATCGAAACTGGCGAAATCCATACTGAAATGGTGACAAGTATTTATTTATTTCTACGTACCATCTAATTCTTTTACTGATAATTTTCTCTAATATTTTACATAGATTACATGTTAAAGATATCGGTCTATAGCTAGTTCGTGAACTTGAAATCTTTTGTGGTTTTAATATTGGAACTACTAAAGCTTCTTTCCAATTGTCCGGAAATACATGATCCTTATATATATGGTTATATAGTTGAAGTAAATATTTAAGTCCTGTCATTGGCAAATGTTTAATTAAAATATTCGGTATATTATCTGGTCCTGGGCTAGAATTACCAATTTGTGAAAGTATTGAAATTAATTCGTGCATTGATATTTCTTTATTGATTGGGTTGGAATTGTCGGATGTCTCGAGATTTGAATCGGTCTCTTGTCTAATTTTATATTCAATAAATAAATCATTATAGTTATTAGAACTAGAATTAGTTGCAAAAGATTCAGCTAAAAGGTTTGAGGTTTCAATAGGGTTAGATGTAAACATACCGTCATTTTGTTCTAGTACAATTTGGTTGAATCTAGTGTTGCGGTGATTTAGTTTCTGAATCTTGTTCCACATATCCCTAACAGGGGTTTTGTTAGTAATAGATGACACCCAATTTTCCCAATATCTTTTTTTATTTTCTTTAATAAGTCTCCTATAGTAGGCTCTCTTCTTCTTATAATTGATTTTATAAGTCGAATTGGGGTCATCTCTAGCATATCGTTTAAAGAGTTTTAGCGCCTTTTTTGTTTCTCGAATTGCAATTTTACAGTCCTCGTTCCACCATGGTAAATTATGTTTTCTTAAGATACCAGATGTTTTAGGTATTGAATTATCAGCAGCCTTAAGAATGACTTCAGTGAATTTATCAACCACGACATTAATAGAAGAATCTATAAATTGATTTACTGGTACTAATTCTGTTATATTTAGATCAAAGTATTCCCGAAACATGTTCCAATCTGCTTTATCAAACTTCCATTTCTTAGGCACTCTAATATCGTTTGATACATTAGAATTAAAATTAGATGTAATGAAAATGGGGAAATGGTCACTATCATACCAATCGTCCAGGGCGTTCCATTCAAAATATGACGTTATATTTTGTGAAGCCAAGGTAAGATCTATATTACTTGTCAGACCCGTATGGCTATTAAAACGAGTAGGTTGTCCGTTATTTAATAGAAATAAATGATCAAGTTCGTCAAGCCATTCTGCTATTAACTTACCCCTAGAATCACATTTATCTGAACCCCAATAAAAGTGATGGCTATTGAAATCGCCTAAAATTATCACAGGAGATGGAAGCTGACTAATGAGATTATTTAATTGCTGTTTATCAAGAGTACTACTATTTGGTAGGTAAACGTTACATAATGTAATAGATAGTGGGAATTTTATGTTTATTGCAACTGCTTCTAAATTTGTGTTTAAAACTATTTCTTCTGGAATCGTATGAGACTTAATATAAATAGCCACTCCACCACTAGCCCTATCACCTTGCAACCGATTTTTGTAAAATTGTTTGTATCCTGTTAAAGAAGCGCATTTATTAAAAGTAAAGTTTGTTTCCTGTAGACAAATGCAAGTGGGACATAATTTACTTATTAATAATTTGATATTTTCAATTCGTTTATAGTAACCATTAACATTCCATTGTAATATATCCATATTAACTAATAATAATGTATCTTTAAAATAATATGTAGTAGTAAAAAATTAAGTTAACTTTTAAATTATTGATCTATGTCCGTTGTAACAATAGGTGTGGGAGATATTAATATTTCATGTAATTTCCTTGACAGACGTGAACATCTATTTTTTTGGCTTTTGTTCATCTTACAGTGTAATTTGTTACACATTTTAATAAGGTCCTTAATGTTATCTGTATAAGAATATACTAATTCTTTTATATTTTGTTTTCCTCGTGTATTATCTAATAAGCTAATGAATTGGTCTAAATTAATAGGGAATGTATTTTCGTTGTTTAACGTGGATAATTCTTTTTCAATATTTGTCCAAATTTCTTCTTCAGTTCTAGGGTCAGACTTTTTTAGTTTCTTTTTTGTTTTTGTTTTGGTTTCCAGATCTTCCAATGATATATTACTGCCTGTTTCATCAGATTCAAATTCCATTCTGTCAGACTCCTCTTCTTGTGTGTGTTGTTTTATAATATTTATTTTTGAGGATTCAGTAGTCGTTAGTGAATGTGTTCTTTTTACTCCTTTTGGATTCATCTGAGATGGTTGTGAGAAGCCTTGATTTACTGGGGTACATTTAGGGTCATCCTGAGGGTGGGTAACAATTAAATCATCGCATCTATCGAATATATCAATAATTTCTTTTGCTGTTTGTTTTTCCATTTCACGGGGGTAGTCTTGAATATTTTTTATATTTTGTGGGCAATTTTTAGCTAAATGCCCCAGTGTATTACAAGTAAAACATTTTAGAGCATCAGTAGATGTATAGATCCAGTAATTAGTGCCTTCGAATGTAATTTGAAATGTTTCTGGCAGACGTGCCACATCGTCTGGGCTAATATATAATTGTCTTCTAAAACTTAAGATGTGGGAAAAGCCTGGGTCGCTAACACCTATTTTCATAAATGTTAGTGGCTACATTATTTTTATATTTAATTCTTCAAATCGTTTTTCAATTATATAATTTGGAATAACGGGACAAACATTTGATAAGACGATCCTTTTATTTCTTGTAACTAAAGATTTTATTTCAAGAATATTACTTTTGATAGTTAGCTTTTTCTTTTCTTCGACAAGGTTATCGGCGGTTTTTTTCGAGTCCATATAAATACATATTCGAGCATTCGATATTCGAGATATAAATCGTATAGACGTTGCAGGAATAATTAACGATAATGCAATGAGGTACTCCCTGAGTGTTATACCGTCAATGGAGTCCAGTACGATGGCTTGGTCTTTCTTGGGAAAACAAGTAGATGAAGTAACATTTGCATAACTTGACGTATTGGGTGTTTCTTGAGACATTGTGGTTGGTTGGTACACTGGGGGATTTTGAGACGTTGAGGGTCCAAACATTATTTTATAAGGGGGCTCCTGTTGCCAGGAGTTACCCTATTAACGAAAAAAAATCAAAACAAATATTAAGATTCACGTGTCGCGTAGTGAATATTGGATTCAATAGCGGGTCGGACGGAGTGAGTCACGCGCGTCCGCTGTGACCGCCAGCGCGGAACTGTAACCAGTCATTTTCAATCCAGACGTCTTAAGTATTTAATAATTCTTAAATATATAATAATTCTTGTGCGGTCCATGGCCCTTTACGGGTGCCCAGTATGGGCGGGGGCCCTGAAGGCCAGCAACCTCGCGATACTGCGATGACCGCAGCGAGTGCTGGCTATCAGGATCATAAGGGGGTACCGCACGATCTCCTTTGAGGCGGCGAGTCTCCTGGCCGGAACTCCATCGTGGGACCTGGAGGCGAGAGCCCTTGCGGCTCTGTATCAGTGGCGCAAGGAGGCGCGGGAGTTGGGTCGGTGTCCCGAGATTCGAGAAATCGATGACCGGAAATCCCAACTCCGCCAGGTCATCATAGGGGAGTGGAGGGAACGACTTGGGCAAACGAGCGCCGGGCACGCCGTCATCGCGGCGGTAAGACCCGTTATGGAGGATTGGCTCGAGAGGCGTCACGGGACCCTCTCATACCGACTGACGCAGGTGATCACTGGGAAAGGATGTTTCGGGGATCACCTGTGTCTGATCCACAAGGAGCTAACGCCTGAGTGCCACCACTGCGATGGCCAGACTGTGGACACGGCTCTCCACACGCTGGCAGAGTGCCCGGCGTGGGTTGAGCAGAGGCGAGACCTCGTGGCGGCCATCGGAGTAGGAGTTCTCATCTTCATCGGAGAGTGCGTGGAACTCTGCCGTCTTCTTCTGCGAGCAAGTTATGCTCGCGAAGGAGACGGCGGAGCGGGGCCGAGAGAGGTTTAGAACTCTCCCGGCCCGCCAGGCCCGGGAACGGGTCAGGTACCGCAGGCGACTCAGGCGCCGGAGGTCGCAGAACGGCCTCCGTTCTCCATAAGCGCAGGCCTGGGGGTGACAGGTGAGGCCATCTTTCACCCTGGCAGAAGCAGGCCGGGGTTGCGGCGAGCGCTTCCAAGGAGCAGAGGGAACATGGGGTTCCCACACGGGTGGGGGTCGTCAACTCGTCTGTAGATGGCCCGAGGTATGTCGGGGCACCAGGGATTTCCATCCTAGGGTATACCTGGTTCCCCGGCTATTAGTACCCGAGACGGCGTGCGGTTTTAGTCGGTTCGAGTCCGATAGGTGGTATCCGAGGGGATTTCCGCACGGAAAAAAAGAAAGAAAAAAAGGGTACTCAATCAAATAACAAAACAAGGGTGGAATAAAATCATGATCACCTGTGGTTAATCAAATAATTTATAAATCGTATAAACACACATGTGACTAATTTACTGTGACTAAAGACTGGCAGAAGGTTCCGCAGCGGGCATCGCTTCATATAGAATTAATACCGCGTGCGCCGTTGCGTGCTCCGCCGTGCGCCACCGCGGGCTCCGCCACAAAACACGCTCAATTTCAAACAATCATTTCTCCGTAATCGATCAGCAAAATCGCTTCTCCGTATCCGTAAGTATGAAACGCACTCATACAACGCCACATGTTTGAAATCAGTGCGGGCCGCGCCGCACAACGCGACGCGCGCCGCTCTGCGTCTCCGTAAATGAGGCCTTAGTGTCACACACATTATGAATGAAAGACCAATACGTGATAAATCACGGTCCATCGATAATGTCAATATGATACAATAGTTTTAGTGTCATAAATACGATCTGGTGGAGAGCTTCATCACGTACTGGTACTTCGAACCTCGTAATGAAACAACAAATATTTCAAAGCTTTATTTGAAATGATTGAGCATAATCTACAATTAGTCCTTAAAGCTGTGTCATAATTCAATAATAAAAATTTAAGAATCCTATAAAATACAAAATTTATATCCTGTCAATTTGATTATCGTATTTATCATAAATACAGTATGGTAATCATTTTTTTTTGGAAAAGTAGATCCCTTTTTTTTAAATTAATTTCTACACTCCAGCACTTACTATAATGGCATTATGAGCGTTACAATCAACAAAATTAATCTCTTAATAGAGAGTTGAAATATGGAGGAATGGATCATCTTTGATCTTTGTGAGAGAGAGGAGTCCTTTGGGCCTCGTTCTCCCAGGTAGGTCCACAGAAGAATGATTTTTAACACGCCCTGTCAAACCCAACGGCACTATTTTCGAGATATTAGTTGTATACATAGTCACACACAGTCCGTGTAGAGACGGATTAAGAAACGGGGTGTCACCAACCCTATTCATCCCATGGGTGTCGTAAGGGAACTAACTACGCAGAACAACAACACTGCAAAGAGAAGGAAAACTTGAAACAAACCCTATACCAACCCGTCTGGCCAGCGTGGTATAGTAGGCTAAAACCTCTTTTCTAAGGAGAGGCCTATGTCCAGCAGTGGACTATTAAAGGCTGTTGACGACGATGATGATGATGGCATAGTCACAAATACCTTGCTATGTTTACGTATATATATATATATATAACAAATATTAATGCAATTTCATTTCAACTGCATAATCTTAAAGTCAACCAAAATATCAAAAAATCTAATTACAAATGCTACACTTTCCTTTTTTATAACTTATTTTTAATTTTATGTTTTTAAACACAAGGCCTATATAACAGCACTGCTTGCCATCTGGTTAACTCCGCAGGTACCGTCTCCACGATACACTCGATAGTAACCCTGTTCACCCCAGGAGGTGCTCCATGAGTTCTTTATTGTCCAGTAAGGGAGATGTTTCTTGAACAGCGGGTAGTCTGAAAATTATTAATCAAACTAAATTATGATCACACATTGTAGTATTGTGAACTGTAATATTGTGTTACACTGTATTATTGTCTGGAACTATTAGTTAGTTATAAAGAAATATTTTTACATCTGATAGCCCAAATCTTGACACTATATGACGACAAAAGAAGAAAAGCGCAGAAGAGCGAAATTAGTACCTATTCGGTAAATTACTGTGTTAATTTAGAGGGATTACAAAGTATTTTAAGGCCAAATGTAATCTTAGGTAGATCAGGATAAATGAATAGATGTCTGTGACTCTGTCTTTCGCATAAACGAATAGTCGGAGTTAGATGAGGTTTAGTAAGCAACTAGTTGTTTACGGATTCAGCCCTGGTTAAATTGGCTCATAAAGACAAGGCCGCGAAATAAATAAAAATGTGAGGTGGATTGCTTCTTAATCTTTCAGGCTTTCTGAATTTAACAAACCATCAAGAAAACTCCCGCACTAGGAGGATATCCTGTGTCGCGGGGGACTTTACAAATATAAATGAAACGGGCTCAAAGAACACCCAGACTTAGAACGACAATTTGTGGATCACATAAAGTGTCGTTCCATGTGAGGGTCGCACTCACAACATTCAGCGTGGTAAAATCCGTGCAGTCAAGAAAAGACGAAACTACCTTTCATCCAGAGGAAAAAAGTACAATTCAAGAGGTCACCTTGAATTTATTTACAGGATGCTTCGGGCAATTTTTGATGCGAAGCGGCTCACTTCACACCAATTAAGGCTATGGCAAAGTTGTTATTTTTACCTTTAGCACCATATCCTACAATGAGCACGCCGTGGTCCAAATTGCTGGGATCGCAAAGTACCTTCCAAGGGTGAGAGATTCCTCCCATGTAAAACTGCATGGCGTTTGCGTTTATACCTGAAAATGACAATATGTTGAAACAAAATCAGCGTCTTAATAATGTTGTGTCACCACCCAAAGGTTGACTGGCAGCCATAATTTGAACACAACGAACTAACTAGTTAATAGTCATAATTACCGATAGAGATGGGTCCATTCTGCACAAGCCATTGCGCCATACCAGTTTCGTTGGAGGTAATGTTGACGGCTCCACTGATGGTCACCTTAGCCATGGTTTTGTTAAATGCACACTTATCGTCTTCGCCCTCATAAGGGTAGTCATTCTCCGGCTCCAGACCTCCCAATTGCTCGATCGCTCTGAAAAAAATTTGTACTTTTAATAGTACATGCTTCAGTTTGAGCCAAAGTTCTTGTTTCTTACTACCTTGCTTGCTACCTTAATGATTTAAGTTCATAGTAAACAGTTAAAAACTAAATAAATCAATGAACTTGATTAGGTTATCAGGACCGTGGTCATTGAACACATTTGCCAAACGATTTTCCTTTAAGACGTTTTGTAGGTAGGTATACCATAGATAAGATAAAAGCTGAAACACAAATAACGACGTTGAGCCCTAACCTTTATAACCAAAGTATGAATAGAGCAATAATTTTGATATGGATTAAATAACCGCGAAGTTAATAAAAATCTGAAATATTTTCTATAAATTCTTGTAGGCTATCCCGATGGTTGTAAGTGATATGTTGATAAGTATTTATATCGCGATACGGGATTAGAAGTTACTCCGTAGTTGGGTGTTCTTCGTTAGATGGCGCTGTAGTGTGTTCTAGTTTCAAAGTATATGAAGTCGCAACATATTAAAACTTCAACTTTTACAAAAATAACGATAAATATTCTGTTTGTAATTGTACCATATAAGGTGACGATAAGATTTAACATGTGTTACAGCTACCAGGGCTCTCTCACTTCTCTTTATATTTACGTTAACAATGTTGTTTACATTGTTAAATGAAGAATGCAGATAAATGAAGAAGGCAAGCACAAAATTACAATTTAAACTAAACTAGATTTTAAATTAAACTTAGTAAAAATAAACACATTCTAATAAAAATACAATTTTTGCATAACAAAGCAAAGAATATTAACATAAATGAATTCAATATAAATAAAATAAAGAGAGGCCTTTCTAAGGAGAGGCATTTGTCCAGCAGCGGACTGTTAAAGGCTGTTGATGATGATTGATGAAAATAAAAATTAAAATATATTATATTATAAGACGTGTAGTGACGGATTAAGCATACGGAATGTTACTACCCCAACTCATCCCGTGGATGTCGTAAGAGCCGACTAAGGGCGCAAAACAACGCAGGGCACCAGCACCCCAAAAAGAAGGAAAACTTGACACAAAGTCTCTTTTTTTTTTTTTTTTTAACGTGTGGAAATCCCCGGCAAGTCTCAAATTTTCCTCTCTTTAGGCGACGTCCGGCACATGCGGACGCCGTCCCCTCGCGGCTGGCCAAACTATCGCGGGTGGAGGGGAAAACCCATCGAGTCCACCCTCGGCCACACTCAGGGCGGCATGAGGCGCAGGTGAGCGCGCCTCCGCCGCCCGGTTCGCCGGCGGCGGTTCGGGTCCGAGTGGAGGTCCTTCCGGGCCTTCTCCGCCGCCTCCTTCTACGAGATTACTTTCTCGCTGAAGGTTGCGACCGCGGTAAAACAACTGTCGCTACCGGCCATGGAGCGTACTACGGCCGGTAGCGAGAGATCCACTCCGATGACTGCAGTGAGGGCCCGGCGCTGCGTCGCCCATGGGGGGCAGACCGCCAGCGTGTGCTGGGCCGAGTCCTCACTGCAGTCGCAGTGGTGGCAGGCGGGACTCAATTCCCTCCTGGCGACCGAGTACAGGTACTTTCCGAAGCAACCGCCCTGCCCACTCGGTGATGACTCCGAGTCTCCAGCCGGAACGACCATCTGACCATGGTGGATCGGCGAGCGGCTTCGCGCCACTCGCGCACGTCTTCGGGCGGAGGGCGAAATCCGCTCTCCGCCCGGAAGTCAGTGACTCGCCGATAGACTTCGGCGAGCACTTCCGCCTCCAAATCCCACTGGGGAGTTCCGGCCAAGGCGCAAGCCGCCTCGGTGGACACCGTGCGGTATCCGCGTATGGCTCTGACCGCCAATATCCTCCTCCTCGCGCCAGAGGCGCGCCCTATTCTGGGCGGTCAGAGCCGCCACCCACACCGGTGCACCATACAGCGCCATGGACCGGACAACCCCCGCGTACAGCCGCCTCGTGGGAACATTGGTCCCGCCCAAATTGGGCAAAAGTCGCCCTAGGGCGGAGACAGTGTCCACCAGCTTTGAACCAAGCTGTCGGAAGTGCTCGTTGAAGAGCCACCTACCGTCTAGGACCAGACCCAGGTACCTCATATGGACCCGGACCGGTACGAGGACCGAGGTTACCTCGATTGAGGCGTCGGCGGGTGGACCACGACGGGGCCCATGAAATAGTAGGGCCTCCGTCTTGTCCAGGGCCACCCGTAATCCCAACGCCTCAATGCGCCCGACCACCAGGGAAACTCCTGCGTAGCAGAGTACACTCAGCCCGGGGGGAGACACCCTCGTAGGGCCCATTCGTATCCAATGTTCCACAGGAGTGGTCCCAGGACAGACCCCTGCGGAACACCGCACGACATGGCCCTGCGTCGCAAGACACCATCTCGATAATCGTACATGACGGTTCGCTCCTCAAGATAGTCTGCCACCAGCCGCCTCAGGTACTCTGGCACTCCGTGGTAGCGGAGCGCTTCCCCGATGCAGCTGAATTGCAGACTATTGAAGGCGTTGGCGATGTCCAAGGACACCGCCAACACTACTCCGCCGCAGCTAACGCTAAGGCGCATTACGGCATCGATCGTCGAACGCCCATCTCGGAAACCGAATTGGGCGTCCGACAGACCGGGGCCAACCTCGCAGAGGTGCCGGACGATGCGGGCAGAGAGAACCCTCTCAAAAAGTTTACCCGCCTCGTCCAGCAACACGATAGGCCTATAGGCCGCAACCGAATAGGCAGGCCGTCCCGGCTTCTTCAGCAGGACCAGCTTCCCGCACTTCCAGTGCCCAGGGAAGCGTACGGACGCCAGGCTAGCGTCCAACATCTCCTTGAGGTGGTCCGACATGTAGTCGAGAGCTCGGGCCATCACTCGGGCTGGAACCCCGTCCGGCCCGGGGGAACTTGACACAAACCCTATACCAACCCGTCTGGCGAGCGTGGTATAGTAGGCCAAAACCTCCTTTCTAAGGAAAGGCCTATGTCCAGCAGTGGACTATTAAAAGCTGTTGATGATGATGAATATTATAATATATATAGATTATGCATAGTAATAATGTTTGAGTTACCTATATGCGGTATCAGGTAGACCACCGTTACAACCTTCGTCCATTTTGTCACAGTCTACCAATTCCTGCTCCGATAAGGATACCAAGTTGCCAGTTTTAATTTTCCATTGTCCCTCAACGTTGCCTGAAAAAAAATCAATTTTTATACTATGGCAATTTTAGACTTAATGACATCATTTATGTTTCGAATGTATCACATACTAGCTTTTACCCGCGGATCTGCTCGCGTATATGTCGGTTATCGTGGTAAAGTTACATAAAATTGAAATTCTTTCACCAATGGTAAGCTACCTTATATCTTACCATTGGTGAAAGAATGGTGGTGGTTTAGGCGTGAAAGCGTATGAAACAAACTCACTTTCACATCCATACTAATATTATAAATACGAAAGTGTGTCTGTCTGTCTGTCTGTTACCTCTACACGCTTAAACCGCTGAATCCATTTAGATGAAATATGGGATGAAGATAGTTTGATTTTTGAAGAAGGACATAGGTTACTATTTACCGCGATAATCGAGATGCAAGCGGGCGGAGCCACAGGCAAAAGCATACGACACAAATATATGACATAGCTCCAAATTAAAAAAAATACAATTTATTTATTTAGAAAAATCAAACAATTTCTAGAAACATGGACGTTTTAAACTATAATTAAAAAAAAAAACTGAAAAGATTAAATAAATTGAGATAAGATCGCCAGATTGGTAACATTTCATAGTACTCTGTGTACTGTACATACATATGGCCACATAGCCAATCTAAAAATGATTACCTTCAAATATTTCAATTCTCATATTTACGCATTGTCATGCCTTACTGACAAGACAACTGACATTGTTACATAAAAAGCTAAATGCCTGTATTTACCTGTAACGCTAAATGCCCAACAACTACCACATGATCCTTGATCTTTCACTTCAGTCACAGCACCAGAATTTCTCCAATCGAAACTGTCAGGCAGTTCAACATTCGGAATAACAGCTTTCGGAATAGGTATCAAGTTTTCATTTTTCAAGTTAGTCTTCAATCCCAAATGACGAGATCTGAACTCTTCATAAGTCAGATCAGCGAAGCGTGTAACGCCATATTTAGCAGTTCCTTTTTCTTGCACATTGAATTCATGAATTTTCTTAATATTTTCTCTGAATATTACAAACCTCTGTGCCATTTCAGTGGGATTGGTTCCATAGCTCGGATTGTATTTATTTAGGAAATAGGAAAATAATTGTTCAGCTTGGATATGGTGACTCAAATCAGCGGTATCCTCTAATGGAACATCGCACGAAACTCTGAAGTTAGCGGGATCTTCAGTCCACGGTCGAATCCAAACATTAACACGACATAACTTGCTAGAACCAGGATAATCTTCCAGTTTGCATTCTGTTTGTTCGCTTAAAGCTGCACAGTTTGTAAAACCAACCTCAACCTTCATTCTATAATGAATGCCAGCGACAATTTGCTTCTCCAAAGACACTATCCGCACGATTTCTTGTTTTCTTGGATGTGGATACTTGGCTTCTATATGCCTTAAGGCTTCCTGCCCTAATTGCATTCCCAGTTCGTAATTTGCCTCCTGTAAAATAAGAAAATAAATCTTAATTAACGAATGGTCCGAATAAAAAAAAACAATCGAATTAAAAACCTCTTTTGTGTTTTTGAAGTCGGTTAAAAAGGAGACAATTCTTAGTTTATTTTCTTCTTTTTATGTGTGTTATCTGATTAGATAGATTTGTATTTTGTTCCTATCGATTTCGTACTTCCTGTGTTTGTTCTCGGAAAGAAAATTTTAATTAAATGCGACTGTCGATGCAGATTTTGGATGATCACAAGAACTACATAATAACGAAACATTATATTTAACATGCTCATATTTTATGGGTTGCTTAATGATTATTTTAAATCCTGCAGTTATATTCGTCACATGTATTGTGCTAGGAGAACTTCTCCAGAACGAACGTCAATGGTTGGGGTAAAGGAAAAAGCGATGCAATTGAATTTAGAACTCACAGAAATTGTAATAATAAAACATTTCTTATTATCACGATTTCTATGGATAAACTCAAAGAGACCTATTCAAAAACTAGAAATGTAAATTTTTACGCTTAAAATAAACTTAAAAAAAGGATATTCTCCTTTTGAATTTTTTGGACGTATTTATACATATTTATTTGTGACTACATCTCATGCTATTTCTTACTGAATCGATTTTAATACCCTTGTCATTTGAATTGGCTATACCTGTCCAAAATTTAATTTTGTTAATCCAATTAAATTTTAAAATAACAATCTAACTCCAATGCTGGAAAATTGAGGAATGAATATTTAGCTTAAAACAATTTATCGCGCTTTAGAAATATTGAAGTCGGTGATCCTTTTTATGATCACAATTATTTAAACTTTTAATAATAAGTCTTAATAAAACTCTTCACTCCAAGACGACTACAATAATATATAGAATATAATAAATTAAAAACTTAATATATTAATATATTCCTTTATATGCCTATCAAATTATACACATATTTTCAGATACGACTTAGTAATGTAATGATGAAATTGGTATTTTGCTTTAAACTTTAGTTTCGGAGGATTCTTAACTTTCGTTTAGGGGGGCAATCGAGTTGACTTGCCACCTAAGGATATGTAATTACCACCACAACCCATGGATGTCCATAACTCAAAGAAGTCACACTCGCTAACGCGTGACTGCCTCGGTTGTGCTGAGGTCTCGCGTTCGATTCCCGGGTCGGACCAAATGTTTGTATGATCTGCAAATATTAGGTTTCGGAGTTTGGATGTTTATATGTATAATATGTATGTATTTAGAAAAAATAAGTATATTCTATCAGTCAATCTAGCTCTGCTTAGCTTGAAACTAGATGGGTGTAAGCTTGTGTGTGAAATGTCCGAAAATAATATTATTATGTTAATTCACGAACGTTTCAAATGTACGAGTACATCTATACTAATGAATTTAATAAAATTGCCTGAGAGTTCGACAATGTTCGTGCGCAATTTAAACAATCAGCGAGGCTAAATAATGAACCGTTGCCCCAGTCAGGACCTTCAAGCGTTATAATTTACAGAATATATCTTGTTTTTACAATTATATGATTACACTAAAAGTATTTGTATGTAGTAAGATTAGAGATCCATTAGTATATGTCTTTCATAGAATGGAAGAGGGCCAATAGCGCGTTTAGCAGCTGGGCTTTGGTTCACGGCTGAGACTGCCATTTACACTAGCAGAAGCCAGTTTCAGACCAGGGTTCGACGTTTTCTTTGCCTCTCTAAATTACAAATGGGCGAGGCCCTCTGCACGCAATAGTATGACTAGCTAATTTTTATGAGGCAGCCAAAGTTTGCCGGTTTTTTTAAGTCTTCTTTCCTAGGATAGGTACCCTTTAGGTCAGGGATTCCATAACTATTTTGGGCCAGAGCCCCTTTTCTGAAATGAACTGATACTTCAGACCCCCAGTGCCAAATTACTGCACGCTTATCGACTTTTTTTAAAAGTACTACAATAATACTGCCCACTAAAATATTAGTCATTCTTACAACACGTTGGTACATATAACACAACTAATACAGTATCTGGAAAGTTTCAAATAAGAACTTGTTTTAATTGGACGGGCCTGTTGGTCGAGTGGTTAGTGCCGCTGACTGCTAAGCCGGAGGTCGTGGGTTCGATTCCCACCCAGGACAAATATTGTGTGATGAGCATGATCACTTGTTCTGTATCTGGGTGTAATTTATCTATAATATGTATGTATTTAAAAATATATAAGTATGTTTATCAGCAGTCTGGTTACCATAGCACAGGATTTGCCTAGTTTGGGATCAGATGGCCGTGTGTGAAATGTGTGAGGTATATTATTATTAATTAATAGGGATCGATTTTTAGACCTCGTTGACCCCCAAAATCACTTTTCGTTTATGTCTATCCCTGGGAAACCGATTTCGAACCCAAGGGGTCGACATCGACCACTTTGGGATTCTCTACTTTAGGTTATAGGTCTTCTTTGGTATATGACATCCGTATTAAACATAATGATGTGTAAATGTTTCTACTATCTGTCAACTTCGTTTATAACAAAGACGGCCCGAGCTAATGAGAAAGGTTAAGTATGATAACCTTCACTCTACGTTATAAATAAATATAATCTCGTTATAATATATGAGTTCACGAGTCCTAATTGTATTACGAGTTTCATATATAATATACGAGTATATGTTATATTTGCGTGTTATTTACACCAAAATGACGTCATATCTGTGAACTGGCATCAAATCACGACGTTGTAATTCAATGTTACGCACACAATGTTTAAAATTATTTTTTTATGTATCTAGGTAGATAGGATAGGAATAGGTAAACAAAAATATAAAAAAGTCTATAGTGCTTTCATACCGTATTAGTAGGTGCTAATACGGTATGAAATGCATGATAAATGATATTTATTTCTCTAAGTAAATCTTTTCAGATATATGTATATTTTTACAAGTCGCACTTTACAGCTAGAAGGAGCTGGCATTTGTTAAGACTCACTTTGGAAAGAAACGCCGAAACAAATCACAGAGTAAGTGAGTTAGTTATGTGAACTAACTGCTGAGCAAATTTTTGACAAAACAGAGATTGTTGCTAATGTGTGTGTTGATCTATTACTTTAGAGTGACACAGTTACATAAAAGACGATTTCAAACAATTTGTGTTTTTTTCATGAAATAAAGATTTAGTCAGTTTTGTTCTTCATTGCTCATCAATGCAACCATAATGTACCACGAAAAAACGTGACAGGGTACAACTAGTTTATAATATTATGTTCATTTGGTTAAATAGAAGTAGCAGTTTAGTGTAGGTAAGTATTAGCAGTTTGGTTGTGGTGTTAGGTGTTTCAAGTTATTAATTTATTATAATTACATAATACTCTTTTTGGTACTAGAAACACTCTTTGAGAATTGCAAATAATCGGTCCCTGTTCCTAATTTACTGTAACTCTGTAACTATCTATACTACAGATGGCTTGGCGCTCGAATTTTGACCGATTTAAATGTCTTGTTTGAATTCAATGAACTGTATAACTTGAATTGTCATTGACTATATTGTATAGACAGATTAAAATATAAATTGGATATCATATATATGTATATCATAATGCCATGTTTGTTAAAAATAGATAAAAAAAATTAGGTGTCTGCACTTCTTCTGCGTATAAACATAGAGAAGGTGTTCCAAATATAATATTCCGTAACCCATACGTGTGAAAAAATGGTGCAAAGAATATTCTTCATATATCTAATAGGTTTGCTATTTATGTGGGTTATAATATTACAGATATTAAAATACATTAAAACAGAAGGCTGTTAAGCCTGTGTAGTTTTCAGAAGGGACAAAAACGACTCGGATATATGGGTTGTGTGTTGTGCGTATATGGAGGAATGGGTATTTCTAAGATTGAGCTAAAATTATTGCAGTTATTTGGCACCTTCTGTGTACTTTTACGTAACTTTTCTGAAACTCTGTGTACAATAAATAGATATCACAAGGTGATTAAATTTTTAACTAGTAAGGATAAGTTTCGGATGAATATTTAAATCAGTGTAATATTCTACCTAATATTACCTTACGTTACAAATACCAATGTTATTTGTTTGTTTCTAATGCTTCTTAATAAATCATCATGAAAGTATAGATGACAAGTATTAGTGAAGTCTCGTGTTGTACCTACTATCCGTGTGGTGACGGATTAAGAATACGGAGTGTCATCCCGTGGGTGTCGTAAGAACCGACTAAGGGAGCAAACTACGCAGGACAACAGCACTGCAAAGAGAAGATAAATTTGACACAAACCCTATAACAACCCGTCTGGCCAGCGTGGTTTAGTAGGTCAAAACCTCCTTTCTAAAGAGACGCCTATGTCCAGCAGTGGACTATTAAAGGCTGTTGATGTGTGATGTGATTAGTGAAGGATTTTTTTCAACTACTGTTTCTGAACTACTGTAATACAATGTACTAGTTTTTGCTTGAATCTACGCGAACAGCTATACGCTTTTGGAGTTTGATTTTTACCGAGTAAACATGTTTGAAACCCTATTTTGGGCGATCATATTTTTTTTTTATTATTTTAACTAATAATTGCTTTGAATAATTCGAATTAGTCAAGTTTAATGCTTTCAAAAATAAAAATAAAATATTTCCTGTTATGTATAAAATTTAATAAAAATATTCAAATAAACGACCGAACAAAGAATTTATATAGCTTTATAATACTTCAATGTATGGTACAGAGAACAAAGAAAACCGCTGAAAACACATGTTCACAAAAAAATAATTTTTAAGTTTCTAATTTCAACAACTTTCATTACTCACTAAAATAAATTAATCAGAAAATACCTACATTCATAATATTTTAATACTAGGTTTCTTAAACTAGGTACTAACCTAGTTCAAGAAAACCTTCAAAGGTTTCTATTAAGAGATGATCAATAAACGTAGGTACACTGAAACCCTGTTCATAATAAAAATAATATACTCACCACCAAGCACAAAGTTTTCATCTATTGAATGTAGGTATTTTCTGATTAATTAATACGGAATTAATACGGAAATTAGAGAAGTTATGTTAGTACATAACTTCTCTAATTTCCGTGTTACCAATTCAGCTGTATCAAGACATTACTCTGTTTACGAAAAGCAATCTAACTAACATTAAATCTGTAAGTATATTTTATAAAGAAGCTATATATTACTGAGAATGGTATCTAGCGGTTTAAATCTTAGGACTAAAATAAAATACAGAAAGCTATTTCTAAAGTCATACTAAGAATTTACAGACAATTACATCAGAAAGATGCCAGTAAACATCTAATTACTATAACAAGATATCATTGCTATGCAATGCTAAAGAGATCAATAAATTATCTTACCCATTGTTGTAAAGTACTTGCAAAACTCTCACGGTTACTATTGTTGGCAAAACGGGTAAAATCGTACAGTAGTTTTTCCCTTTTCCCAACTATTACGTCGCACAAACATAGTGAAAACAAAAGAGGAATAAACGGAATACATTTACGGTAATTCATTTTCATTGCGTTAGTACACCACCACTGTCTAATGCAGTGTGATGTGATGTTTGTTGATGTGAGATGAGGCGAGGCGAGTAGGCGAGGGTTACGAAGAGGGAGAACAAGACAGAATGTGCGACGCAAACAACACTAGCATTTCTTTGTTTACATCATTACATTGCACTAAAACAACCACAGACTATATTCTCATTTATAACCAAAACATAATTATCTGTCATGATGACAGCTCTGAAATGAATTTGTGGATATAATACTACAAAAAAGGTCGAGGAAACAAGTTTCATTGCAGCTTATTATGAAAAAAAATTGACTTGAGTTGATGTTGGTCAGACTGGACTTTATTTTTGTAGACTTGGGCTATCTACTTATAAAAGTCAGATTATAGTGTCAGCTCACAAAAGGACTCCTTCATACCACCACATATTACAAACTCTAACTACGTAGTTCCTTTTCTAAAGTTATAAAATGTACCCACATTGTTTAAAAGACCTCGGTGCCAAGTGTTTAAAACAATGAAAAAAACAAATTCACAAAACAAATAATAGATCAAATAAAATCAAAATTCAAAGAAATTAAAAAACCGAAAGAAATTAAGAAAGAAAAATAAATGTTCATTTAAAAAGAAAGCATCATGCAAAGCAAGAATGATCTCTATAAAAAAAAAAAATCTACAAAGTGTTCGAACAAAAAACAGGTCTACTTTCTAATGTTTGCATGCAATGTATGTAGTCTGGATATTCTTACACAGATGGCGCTGCCGCTAAAACTTTAGTTTTGTATCTGTAGTCGGAATTTTCTTTTGAATAGTAATGTTAGTTGCATAGATGATTAGTGATGCGCAAAATGTATCACTGAGCTGAAAAGATTGATATATATCATTTCGCTCAAAAGATATATATTACTCATCTAGCTCACTAGCTCATTTAGCTCACTAACTCGTTTAGCTCACTAGCTCATTCATCCGATTCAATTGATTGGTCTCTCAATTAGTTCATTTCTTCATCTAGATCGTTTAGCTCAGTATACTCGTATATCACTCACTTTAAGCCTCTCTCGCCATACAAACCTTTCTTTATTTTCATATTAACCTAAATTCAGTTTTTGAAACTACATTTTTAATATATTTTTTTTAATACAATTTTATTCATTTTGATAATATTACATAATCATTAACACCCTTTTATATAATTATTTCTTGTACTATTTTTAGGTTGTATAATAGAAATCATACATAATTTGATTTGCCTTGTACTTAGCTTAATTCTTAAGTAATATTAAACTTTGATCCAATAGAAATAATGTACATTTTGCATAAAGAAACTTGCGTGAACTCAACCATCATCATATCTCACTCGCTCATGAAACAAAGATCGGCGTCGTTGATCTAGTGAGCTAGTACTGAGTTACTGATATATTCGGAGCTATATACACTCACTCAGGAGCTACACAACTCTATAGATGATACAATAATTAGTAACTTGGTACGAGTCAATGTAGATGCACCTACATTGATCTTATTAATCATTTTATTGGATTATTACGACTCTAGTAAACACATGAACAATGCAGCGGTTCACAAAAAACTTAAAAAACGCATACAACGGGCTTTAAATGACCCTCTGTTGAACGGTGAGTTCGATTTTTTTACGTGGAGCGATTGCCATCAGACATTCACAACCCAAGTACCCGTAAAGATGTTCGTATGGCTCCGGAGCGTGCCATAGAAATATCCATCCATACATATATTCACACAATACAATAACCCTCCTGGCCCAGTCGGGTTAATGCAACCATGCAATTCTGATTATATTTTTTAAAGAATTTTAACAAACATTGCACCTATACATGATACCTTTACTTTATTTCAATTCATATCTGTTTTCTTTGTCTCATTATCCACAAATATTTTAGATTTAGTTCAAAAGGTCGTGCATCTGAAATCTGATGTTTTACAGGCCTTAAAATAAAAAAATATGATTGTATGGTATGAGTTTCTGTTAAGTAACAATCTCCTAATTCTCTTTCAGTCTGACTTCCGTGCAGGTCACAGTACAGTGTCAGCATTAGTCCACATCACAGATGATATTAGAGGAAATATGGATAGTGAAACGTAACGGTATTATCCTTACTCGACTTCAGTAACGCATTTAATGCCATCGATTTCCGAATTCTCCTTGGTATTCTTCGCTCTCTTAACATATCGCCAGGGGCAATTAATTGGTTTCACAATTACCTGTTTGGGCGTCAGCATCGGATTCGACTTGAAGACTCCCTCTCTTCATAGTGTAATGCAACTGTCGGCGTCCCACAGGGTGGCGTTCTATCTCTATTACTCTTCGCAATTTTTATTAATTCTATTTCCAATCATTTACTTTCATCCTACCACCTGTATGCTGATGATTTACAGATATACACCCATGCACCTGTCAGTATGTTATCGACTGCGCTTAATATTATTAATGCAGATCTAGAGCACATAAGTGCTTGGAGTAACGACTATGGACTCAAAATTAATCCCACAAAACCACAGGTATGCATCATTGGGAGTCCCATAATGTCTGCTAAAATTAATTGGTCACATTTGCCTCCGGTTCAATTTAACAATACCATCATACCGATCAGCAGCAAAGTAAAAATCTTGGGAGTTATAATCGATAGCACCTTATAATGGGGACTTCAGATTCAGGAGGGGAGCCGCAAAGTCTTCGCAGCAGCGGGAACTTTGCGAAGGTTACGAAACTTTCTTCCGAATGCTACTAAAACTGCACTTGCACAAACTCTCCTTCTTCCGATTCTTTACTATGCCGACGTTAGCTATCTCACCGAAGCACATCTTGATAAACTTGAGCGTCTCCAAAATTGTTGTATCCGATTCATATTTGGACTTCGCAAATATGACCATGTTTCCCACTACCGTAAAAAGCTCAGGTGGCTTCCGATCCGCCTTCGCCGGAATACTCATATCCTTAAGCTTCTGTATAATATACTGTTTAATCCATTAACTCCTATTTACCTCAAAGAACGCTTTAAGTTCCTTCATGACACACATATGAAATGTCTGAGGTCCTCTGAAAGCCTGAGATTGGAAATACCAAGGCATTCTACCAATTTCTACACAAAATCATTTTCCGTAGAAGCTGTACGTTTATGGAATGCCTTGCCGGTTACTATCAGACGTGCGCAATCCGTAACCACCTTCAAGACTCTGCTATATGAGCATTATCTGTCTCTAATAGTTGAAAATTAGCGTATGTATATATTAATGTATGTATGTATAGTATTTATGTATAAATATAGATTAGTAGTATTTATGTATAAAAAATATTTCATAGGTTAAAATAATGCCTAAATGTTAAATTAATGTTAAATTATGCCTTATTTACTTCTTTAATTTATGTATACCTATCACCAGTTCAAAATGAATCCATCCAAAGGTTGCCTGGAAGAAATTGCACTAAGCGATAAGGCCGCCCTTTGTACATTACATCGGTTGTTAATTACTGTATAATATCAGTAAAACCCTCGTGTAGATAAATAAAGTATTTATCTATCTATCTATTTATGGCACATTTTTGATTAAATTTGTCTTTTCACAGATTAACAATTACTTTGTAATATAAGTGTCCGTCTCTTTCCGTGTGGTGATGGATCAAGAATACACTCCGTATTCTTGATCCATCACCACACGGAAAGAGACGGACACTTCTATAGTAGACATGGGACAAAATCACAGTGAACTGTAATTTATCATTCGTGTTTTGCATACGTAGCTTAGGTAAGGGTTGCTAGGTAGGCCCGCCTATCACAGCCTCATGCCGCCCTGAGTGTGGCCGCGGGTGGACGGGGTGGGTTTCCCCTCCACCCGCATTAGTTTGGCCAGCCGCGAGGGGGCGGCGTCCGCGTGTGCCGGACGTCGCCTAAAGAGAGGAAAAATATACTGAGACGGAGCCCGCACCAGGAGCGGGCTGGCGCTAGGAGGGGTCCGGATGTCTTAACAACAGCTGTTCCCGGATCCCTCCTGTTACAGGCGCAGAGTGGCACACCGTGTGGTTTTAGTCGGTCCAAGTCCGACACACCACCCCGCCGCAAACCCCGGAGGGGTGACGGTCCGAGGGGATTTCCACACGTTAAAAAAAAAAAAAAAAGGGTTGCTAGGTAGGTAGGTTAGATAGTTAGTTAGACAGTAAATCTAGTAATAATGTTATTATGTAGGAAATGGTAGCTATATCCTACCATTCCCTACATAATACTTAAAAAATACTAGATTTACTGTTAAATAGGCTAAATAGGGTCTTTATGCATCGTCTGAAAACAGCTTTTTGGCAACAACTAGTGAGTAAGTAGTAACCATAACCTACGTATGGAAAAATCTAATGATAAATCACCGGTCTTTCGCAGTTCACTGTGATTTTGTCCCATGCCTAATCTATAGTAGGCCCAAACCTCCTCTCTAAGGAGATGGCTATGTCCAGCAGTGGACTACTAAACGCGTTTGATAATGATGATTCGTAGGGTTGGACAAATTCTAAACACGTACATAGGATTGTTACTGTACGTACTGTTAATAGAGATAACACTCATTTCGAGTTAGGTGATTATGAGCACTGTATTAAAGATTGGAACTTGTCGGAGACGTGTTACCAAGGGGTATACGTAGGGAGGACTTTCAGTAGCTAGTACCAATTAGTAGATCGAGTTTGGGCTTAAACGATTCGGTTTGAGGAGTCTAATATATTGTGTTTGGTAACGAGAGGGTTTGATGATGAATTCTCTATTTGCTATTTCCGTTCGCCATTAATGTGTGTTTTTTGTTAAGTTTAATTAAACTAAGCATCAGTATTTAACCATCAGTTTAGATTATTATAGGATTATATTTGTGAAATTGAGTCACGAATATAGAAGCTGCATTTCGAGAACTGTCAATGAAAAGAACAACATTAGATTAGTAGAGTAATCAACTTTATATATACAATGATATAAATGAAGTATATCATTTAATACAC